CTGCCTCACCTGTGCCCCTGCCTCACCTGGGTCCCTGCCTCACCTGTGCCCCTGCCTCACCTGTGCCCCTGCCTCACCTGGGTCCCTGCCTCACCTGTGCCCCTGCCTCACCTGTGCCCCTGCCTCACCTGGGTCCCTGCCTCACTTGTGCCCCTGCCTCACCTGTGCCCCTGCCTCACCTGGGTCCCTGCCTCACCTGGGTCCCTGCCTCACCTGTGCCCCTGCCTCACCTGTGCCTCTGCCTCACCTGTGCCCCTGCCTCACCTGTGCCTCTGCCTCACCTGGGTCCCTGCCTCACATGTGCCCCTGCGTCACCTGTGCCCCTCGTCACCTGGTCCCTGTGTCACCTGTGCCCCTCGTCACCTGGGTCCCTGCCTCACATGTGCCCCTGCGTCACCTGTGCCCCTCGTCACCGGGTCCCTGCGTCACCTGTGCCCCTCATCACCGGGTCCCTGCAATACTAGACATGCAGAAGGCAGCCACCAAGTTGCCTCCCTCCCCCTCATTCTCCCTTCCAGTCCTCCCTCCCTTCGTCCTTCTCTCCCTCCTTTCCTTCCAGCTTCTCCCCTTTCCCTCCTCTTCCCTGCCCCTCCCTCCCCCTCCCTCCAGCCACTCCACAGGTTCCTGAGCTCCGTCTCACAGACTTGTCCACAGACTGCCTGCCGCTCACCCAGGTGATGCCCAGCAGACTCTGTCCCCAGAAAGCCCGTCCCCTCCCCACTCTCCAGGGAATGAGTCTCAGCAAATCGGCCTCAGCCCAACCCCAGCCTCCCACCACCAGACCCACTTTAACAGCTGCTGCTTCTCAGCCCACAGGACATTTTTGTGCGACCATTCTGAGAGCAGAAACATTTTTAACGCCACAATTTTGGTGTGCCCCTTTCGGCCAAACCAAAAGACAGACCCTTAAATGCCACTGTTTCTGTTCCTAAGATGAAGGTGATGGAGTGGGTGAAGGTCAGACGCCATGCTCTGAAACCAGGACCACGCTTGTGTTTTCTAGAGAGAACGGTCCATCCATCGTCCTTTGCAAACACCTCGTTCCGTGACGCTTTTGTTCTTTGCATGCTCTCAAACTCTCTGGTCCCTCCAAGTTCCAATCTTGCACGCGGGCGTTTCTTCCTGATGCTGCTAGCAATGTGCTACTGGGTGTGTCGCACACTGGGTGGGAGGGGAACAGGGACACTCGCTGGCTGGGTGACATGCTGCAAGGCAGTTCAACAGATGAAGCTTGGTCAATGTGACCACGTGAACAGAGCGAAGAGAAAAGCTACGATGCAGAAAAACGCAGGTGACAAAACCCAACACACATTCGTTATTCAAAAGAAACTCACACAAAACTGCCTCCACATAATAAAAGCCATATATGAAAAAAACACAGGGAAAAGCACACTTGAGGCTGAAAAATGAGTTCTTCCTCTAAAATCAGGAACAAGGCAAGCATGCCAGTTTTCACCACTTCTGTTCCACATAGGAATGGAAATCGTAAATTCAACAAGTGGGCCAGAAAAAGGAAGAAGTACCCGAGATGGAAAGAAAGAAGTAAAATTGTCTCCGTGCAGAAGTGATATGATCTTATTGTAGAAGCTAAAGACTCCACACACAAAAAAACACCTGTTAGCACTAATAAACAAAATTCAGCAAGGTAGCAAAAGTCAAAGTCAACACACAAAAACTCAGTTGCATTTCTATACACCAACGATGCGCAATCTGAGAAGGAAATTAAGAAAACAGCTACAGTTGCTTACAACAGCTTCAAAGAGAAGAGATGCTTAGGAATTAACCAAGGTGACGTTTACCAAAAAACAAAAACAAAATCAAAAAACAAAAGACCTTCAAATCATTGCTGAAAGAAATTAAAGAAGCCATAATTAAGCCAGGTGCCAGTATAATCCTAGCTACTCAGAGGCAGAGATCAGGAGAGACCCTATCTCAAAGAGTCCATCACAAAAAAGGGCTGGCGGAGTGGCTCAAGTGGTAGAGCACCTGCCTAGCAAGTGTGAGGCCCTGAGTTCAAACCCCAGTACTGCCCTCCCCAAAACAAGTCATAAAGAAAGACATCTTGTGTTCACAGATTAGAAAATAGTATTACTAATACAATCCTAAGCAAATTGATCTGCAGCTTTAATGTAATTCCTGCCAAAATGCCAATGAATGTTTTTTCAAAAATAGAAAAAGCAGCCAGGTGTGGGGACTCAAGTCTGTAATCCTAGCTCCTTGGGAGGCCTGTGTGAGACCCCATCTCAACAAATGGCTGGGCACAGTGGTGCATACCTGTCATCCCCAGCTACACTGGGAAGTGCAAATAGTAGGATCATAGTGCAGGCCGGTCTGGGCATAGAGTGAGACCCTATCTGAAAAAGTAAGCAACATAGAAAGGGCTGAGGGGACAGCTCAAGTGTTAGAACACCTGCCTAGCAAGTATGAGACCCCCAGTACCGAACCCAAAAGAAACCCATTTACAATTCATATGGAATGTCAAAGGACACTGAATAGCAAAACCACAATCTAGAAGAACAAAACTGGACCAGTCACACTTCTTGATTGGAAAACTAATTGCAAAGCTACAGCCATCAAAACAGCATGGCACTAGTATGGTCACTTCATCGCTTCCATCTTTTGGCTATCATGAATAATAACCACAGACCAAGGAACAGAATAGAGAGCCTACAAATAAATCATCCCATCTACGAGCAGATGATTTCTGACAGGGTTGCATATTTAATGAGAAAGGACAGTCTTTTCCACAAATGGTGCTGGAAAACCTGGACATCCACCTGCAAAAATCTAGATTCTTAACTAAGACCACACAAAAATTAGCTTCAACGAGATCAAAGATGTTAACATATGAGTTAAAACCATGGCACTCTAGAAAATACATGAGAAGACACTTATGACATTAGAATCGACAGCTAGATCTTGCTTATGACACCAAAAAGCACAGGCAACAAGAGAAAAAAAAAAGACAATTTGCATATCATGAAAATTTCAAAATTTTGCATCAGAGCACAAAATCAACAGAAAGAAAAGTCAGAGCTGTGGAATGCGAGAAAGAATTTGCAAATTGGATGTCCAATAAGGGATTGGTAGCTAGAATATGTAAATAGCTCCCACGAGTCAATAACAAAAAAAGAAACCCGATTTTAAAATGGTGAGGACCTGAATAAGCATTTTCCTAAAGAAAATATACCTATGACCAATATGACCTAGGACCAATGGAAAGATGTGCATATTTTTATTAGAGAAATGAAAGTTAAAATTTCAATAGGATTCTTCAGACTCACTCACTCAACAGGATTCTTCTTCACACTCACTAGGTGGAACTGGGTCCAACCCCAGTTCCACCAAAACAAAGCAGAAACAACAGCTGGTGAGGAGGTAGTGAAGCTGGAAGCTCTGTGCGCTGTTGAGGGGGAGTTAAAATAGTTCTGCCGCTGTGGGAGATGGTATGGCCACTCAAATGTAAATAAAGAATTAGCATGGGTCCACTTATGGGTATATATATCCGAATTGACTGAGAGCAGGGTCTCCAGCAGATCCTGGTACATCCAGGCTCTCAGCAGCCAAAGGTGGAAATGAGTTGGAACATATTCAGCCTCTCAGGAATGAAGTTTACCAGGATGGGTAAAACCGGAAGGCATTATGCTGGGTGTCATACCCGGTCACAAAAGGCAAATTCACGGAGACAGAATGCAGAATGGCGTTTGTCAGATGGTGAGGACAGGGGAGATGGATCATCATATCTAGTGGGGTGACAAAAGTTTCCAGACAACTTCACAACGGTGTGCATGAACTTAAGGCTCCCGAACTGTACTCTTGAAAATGATGAAACAGAGGGCTGGGGGCCTGGCTCAGGTGGCAGAAGCCCCAGCTTAACAAGTTCCAGGCCCTAAGTTCAAATCCCAGGACCACCAAAACAAAATGATGGAAATAGCCAGGTGCTGGTGACTCCCGCCTGTAATCTTAGCTATGTGGGAGACTGAGATCCGGAGGATTGTAGCTCAAGGCCAGCCTGGGCAAACAGTTCCCAATACCCTTCTCCAAAATAACCAGAGACTGGAGGTGTGGCTCAAGTGCTTTGCAAGCCTGAAACCCTGTCCTACCAAAAAAAAAAAAAAAAGAGAGAGAGATGAAAATTAACAACCATAAAACAAACAAACAAAAACCCACTGGCAAGCCAGGCATGGTGGAGCAGGCCTGTACCCCCAGCACTGGGGAGGTTGAGGCAGGGGGATCCAGGCCAGCCTGGGCTTCATGGTTCAGGATCTAAATATCCGTCCTGGTCCCAAGGACAGGTCCACAAGCCCACAGACACCCACCCAGCCTCCTCCATGCAAAGGTCCTTTTGTGGGGTCGAGAGGGGCAGAGGGAGCACGTGTCAGGGGTTTGCATCCCCTTCACTGTCCCACGCCAGCCTCCAAGGAAAGGGTCATCTGCACCTGCCACCAAGTTTGCTTTAAATGACCAGCAACGGGCAGGTGACCTTTTGCAAGTCTCTTCCGCTTTCTCCTTCCCCTCCCCCTCTTAACTACTTTAACTGTTTCATTTTATGCTCTTTAGCTCATTCAAACTGCATTTCTACATCTCCATCCCCCTCCCTGGGCCCCCGTGGCTCCTCGTGTATAAATGGCGATACCATCAGCCTAGCATCTGAACGGGCCACCAACAAATTGCACGCATAATTATTATCCTTGCTGGTGTCACCTGTCTACATTATCTTTTCCCAGGCTCGGCGATGGGCGCTGCAGCTTTCCTAGCGCGCAGGCTGAGGAGGCGGGGCTCTGGGACTGACCGCGCGAGACGGGGGCGGTTCTGCCAGCGACCACGCCCCCTGAAACCCCACCCCGCCCAGACAAAGCCACGCCCCTCGCAGTTTGCCCGCGATCGCTGAATCGGGCCTCTCCCCTGCGCCCTTAGCAGCAGCGGCCGGGGGCGTGGCTCGGAGCTGGATTGTGGACGCCTGGGCGCGGCGCGCGCTTGCGCAGTAGGGAGCGCCGGAGTCGCTGGCGCGCGTGCGCAGGAGGACGGAGGCGCTCTGCTGAGACGAGTGGGCCCGAGGGCGGTGTGGCCGCGCGACCCTCCGCCGCCGGCCGTGCCATGGCGGACGAGGAGCTGGAGGCGCTGCGGAAGCAGAGATTGGCCGAGCTGCAGGCGAAGCACGGGGTGAGCGAGTGAGAAGCGCCGCCCTCGCCGGAGGGGGTGGAGGTGGGGAGGGCGGCGGCCTGGACGGGGAGGCGTCCGGCGTTTGTCCCGCGCGAAGGCCATCGCAGCCCCTTGGCGCAGTCGCGGGGTCCGGGGGGTCGGGGGGCGTCCGCAGCCGGGCGCTGTCCGGTGTTTGTGGACGTCAGTCGGGGCCCCTCCCCAGCCCCAAGCCCGAGCAGCCGCTGTTCGTCTAAGGGGACCCCGGGGTGTGGACGGCTGAGCCTCCGCCCCGGCGGTAGCCACCATCACTCGCGGTGGAGCGAGAGGCGCAGCTGGCGGGGCAGAAATGAGTTTCTCCCCACGCCGACCCCACGTGCAGCGCGGCTGGCGCGCTTCGTCCCCGGCTGTGACTTCACAAGCCACTCGCACTTTCCGTGGGGGGAGGGGGCGAGGGTGGCACTGCTCGTCCGCCCCAAGCTGAACAAATCCCAAAAAGCTGCGAGATGGAATGGCCCACTGGTTGGTTCTTAGGTGGCCTGCCTTCTGCCACCGCGGGAGCCCCTGACATCAGAAGGAAGGCAGCCTGGGTCCTGTTTTCCCCTTTTGGTGGGGCTGGGGTTTGAACTCAGGGCTTCACGCTTGCGGAGCAGGCTGCTCTGTCACTTGAGCCACCCTTCCAGCCCATTTTGCATTTTGCTCTGATTGTTTTGGAGGTGGGGTCACGTGAACAGTTCGTCTGGACTGGCGTGGAGCTGCGATCCTCGCAATCTCAGCCACCCGCACCCTGCAAAAGGTTAAAATTTTTTCTTTTTTTCTTTTCAGGATCCTGGCGATGCAGCCCAGCAGGAAGCAAAGCAGAGGTACGAGCTGCAAACCCGAACCTTTTCACCAGTTGGATCTTTGCCCTAATTAAGTTGTATTAATAGATGTGCGGATTTGAAAGGTTCTCCTGGCATAGTGATTTTTTCTTCGGTTCTCATTGTGGTAACCTCATTTTTAGTTTAGTTAAATAAATGTGTTTTGGGCCCCATTCAGTTCCGTGTATTTCAGTTAGTGGCTGAAGTTTCTTTGCTAAACTGTCTGCTTGTCTAGAGCTGCTTCTAGGAATTTCATGCCAGTTATAGGGGTGCAGTGCCACCCCCTGTAAGTGGTTGATAAATACTAACTTACACTGTTCTTCCTGTTTTTTCCCAGCACCCTGCAGAGCACCCCACAAAGGTCCAGATGACTCATTCAGCAGGTTTGCTGAGTGAATATCTGATTACCCTATCATACATCCCTTTCTCTGAATACTTAAATGTACGACTCATCATTGTACAACAGTTCTCCTCTGACAAAACAAACTGCGGAAGAAGTCCCCATTTCCCCTGGTCCATCAGGACACCTTTGAACTCCTGCATGCACCCAGTAAATACTGAGCACCTGCTTTGAGCCAGTGGGGATTTCTGTAGTGAGGAGGAGAAGGTTCAGAAGGCAGATGGGGAGCACCTGAGATAGTGATCCAAGGAAAGGGAAAACCTCGTTGGTTGTAGGGAGGATATTTTGTCACATTTTAACCTCTGATGCATTTTATAACTGCTGGCTCTCGTCCAGGATTCCTGGAGAGGATTTGCTGGTGTTTCTGCCATCTTTTGGGCACATTTTGAATCTGAGAACTTTTAAGATTCTCCGCCAAGCTTCTCCCCTCTCTCCACCTTGATGTGAGTTCAGACTGCAGCCCTGCAAAGTTAAAGCTGCTTAAAGGACAGGTGCGTGTCAGCTTCCTGGCTGACTTTACTCGTACTGGCAACGTTACTCTTCGAAACTCCAGCTTTAAGAGACCCCTCTCTCAGGTGGGGTCTAGGGCAGTTTTTCATTTTTAGAGGTCCATAGACCTGTGGTCTATGTTATCAGCAGACGGCAATTTGGAGTGAGTGCAGCGTGGCAGCAGCAGGCCCAGCACCCCAGCGCCAGGGCAGGTCGTAGGCACAGCCAGCCCCACCTCGCCCCTAATTCAGCCAGAAGGTCTGTGCTGCTCTCTTCTGTGTATTAAGCTCTTTGGAGGGCTTCCTTTGAGAAAACCCTGCTACTTAAAAGCTTGAAACCGTGTTGTATGAACATCAGCTAGTTGCCTCTTGGGTCGGGTGGGAAAGCAAGGATAAGTCGTAGAGCTACAATTCTATTCCCCTTTCCCACCCAAAACGTAGAACTGGGGCCGGGGGCCTGACTCAAGTGGTAGAGTGCCTGTTCAGCAAGTGTGAGTCCCTGAGTTCAAACCCCAGTGCCACCAAAAAAAAATCCTGAGGTTTTTTTTTTTGCCCTTCAGTACTCAGGGCCTCACACTTGCTAGGCAAGAGCATTACCACTTGAGCCACGCCTCAGTCCTTCTGATTTTTAGTTTTTCAGATAGGGTCTCTCCCTCCCTTTACCAGGGCCAGCCTCTGACCATGATCCTCCTACCTCTGCCTCTGGAGTAGCTGGAATTACAGATGTGTACCACCATGCCCAGCCCAGAACTGACAGTTTTTAAATACAGGATCTGGTTCTAGCTGGGCCACCGTTACCACATCTCTACTACAAACTTCTGGCATGGGTCATACCAGGTACTTGATAAACGCTGGTAACGGTTGTTGAGCTGAAACTTGGTCTAAGTTTGAGAACAGCTTCTCGCCGGTGTGGACGTTTGCACCCATGCCATGTGTACAGTGTGGCGTGCCCACCGGCTCTGAAGGCAGCAGCAGCACCCAGCGTGTGTGCACAGGCACTGTAGGCACTGAGGGAGCCGCGTGCCGGCAGCTCCGCTCTAACTTTGCGCCACCTGTGTTCTGTTGTAGGGAAGCAGAAATGAGAAACAGTGTCCTAGCCCAAGTTCTGGATCAGTCAGCCCGGGCCAGGTGTAAGCATCTGCGATTTCCTTTAAGTTACTTCTGCTTGGGTCAGTGGGAGGGGGAGGCGCGGACACTGCTCTCTAGATGGAGTGTCTGTTTAACCTAAAAGTACTTGGCAAAAAGTGTGGCATTGTAAGCCTGGAGAGACGCACTTACATCTTCATTAGAGCTTGACAGCTGACGCTCAGTCTCTTACCAAGATGTTCTCCAGGTGCATTTTCTGTAAAATTTACTGGAAGTGACTCTTAAATGGTTAGTCACCAAATATCACGCACGGGTAGTGGACCAGGGTGCCGAGGACTCGGGGCTTGATTGTATTCTGTTTTAGTGTTACGTTCATGGTTTTCCATAATGAAAAGCAGAAAGAAAACCACGCAAAAGGGAAGTGATACAAGGAAACAGTTGGAATGAACTTGCTCCGTAACCGCAAGCCCGGGCGGGGTTCAGCAGAGGCAGCTTCCTAAGTGCGGGAATAGTGAATCGCTTTCCAGAGGGCAGAAAAGTGGAGGGTTAGAATCTGAGAATGCAAGTTTCATCTCAGCTCTGCTGCTGTCTGCATGTCTGCCTTGACCTGGGATGGGCAAGGCTGAGCTTTGCTTTGCTCATTGTTGAGAGGGTGACGCCAGGCTGCCCTGCCTGCTTTGCTGGTGTGAAGCATGAACTTGGGAGGCGCTTGGGAAATGGCAGGGTCTAGTTCAATAAAATAAATATGGTGCAGTGGTTTTGCTGCCTTTTGCGTCTTTTCTTTTCTTTTTAGTAAGTAACTTGGCGCTTGTAAAGCCCGAGAAAACTAGAGCAGTGGAGAACTACCTCATCCAGATGGCGAGGTACGGCCAGCTAAGCGGGAAGGTAAGCCACACTGCCCCGGGGTACTGTCCCTCCTGCTCCCTACCTTGTCAGCACATGGCTTCACCCAGCCACTTGCGTGGTCTGATTGCAGAATTCTTGTTGACTCTTTCCTTGGAGAAAGTCTTAGAAGCTAAGCTAGTCTTACTCACCGGAAATCCTAAATGACAGACACCTCTGCTCTGTGGATCTACTTTCTCCCTTCCTGACACTGTGGAGCCTCCTTGGGGTCTGTGAGGCCAGTGGGTCACCTGGCTTCAGTTTTTCTGCACTGGAAACCAGCATGTCACTGGTACCAAACAGAAACACTACCTGCAAGTGTGATGGGGCTGTGACTGCAGTGCATCACCCTGTAATGCCTCCACCTCCACACGAACTCATCTGTTCCCAGGAGTCCTCACCAAAGCCCTTATGTGGGGGAGTCAGTTAGCTGGTCTTCACACCCCTTCCCCACCCCCAGTACTAGGGTTTGAACTCAGGGCCTGAGCACTCTACCACTTGAGCCACACCCCAGCCCTTTCACTTTATTTTTCTGATAGAGTCTTGTGCTTTTGCTGGCTTGTCCCTGGACTGTGGGATGTGTGGGACAGGCCTGAGCCCATCTGGCCCTAGCTGATCTTTTTAGGGGATGACGTCTGGGAGGGCGGGGGTCTGCTTTTGGTGGACAGAGCTGGTATCCTCAGTTAAGCATATGTGGTTGCTGCTGTCTGCTGGTGGCAATAAAGATGTCCTTAAATATCTGTCAAGTTTGAACTTCTCTCAGGAAGCTGTTTGATCTATGTCCTTGCACTCCCTACCCCCAAAATGAGGAAATGCAAAGCAAAACCAGTCCTTTTGGCCTCCCGTCCCATCATTCCATCCCTCTACACCCTAGAAAAATCTTAAATGAGTTCCTTGTGGCTTTCCTAGGTATCAGAACAAGGTTTAATAGAAATCCTTGAAAAAGTGAGCCAGCAGACAGAGAAGACGACGACAGTTAAAGTAAGTTTCTCCCAGTGCAGGCTGCAGAAGAAAAGGTGATGCGTTGATTGTAAATTAAGTGAATTTGTGTCTGCCGTATCAGCATCTTCCAGCATGGACGCTTGGATTCTGTCACACATGGAGGCTGGGGGAGAGAGGTGGAGGGTGTTGGTGGTTCTCCCTTCAGCCCCGCTCATCTCCACTCACTAAGTCGTTTTACAGACACACACAGTCCTGGTTAAGTAGGTAGAAAATCTCAGTTGTGCTTTATTGAACACCTTACCACACTCGTTTAATTCCCCCCCAGTTCAACAGAAGGAAAGTAATGGACTCTGATGAAGATGACGATTACTGAGCAGAATGTCCAGAGACGAACTCTGGAACAGTTCCAGGATGGAAGTTAAGGCTGTTTAAATGTTTACTTTGTTTATTGTTGATATGCCTTTAAAAATAAACTTGTTATGCAAACTAGTGCAGCTTGGATGAGTGGTTTTAGTGTCATGGCAAAGTGACAGAAGATCTTCACTCTCAATTATTTTTTCTTCTGCCAGAGGCCTTCAACGCGTGGCTGCATGATTGTGCCCTTTGCAGTGGACACAGTGGCTCAGCGAGCTTCAGTTAGGTGAAGTCAGAGCTGGAGCAGCAGTAATGTGGTGGGAATTAAAACCTATGGACCACCTAACACTAATACTCCAGCACGTCTAGTCCGAGACCTGGGTCCTGAAAGCAGGTAGCTATTCCTTCTTCCTGCAACTAGCATTTCACTTAACGAGAAAATTCCTAGACTGGGAGGCGTGGCTCAAGTGGTTGACACCAGGCTCTGAGTTCAATCCCCAGTACTGCCAAAAACACGAAAACTGGTGTAGTCCCAGCTACCTGGGAGGCGGAGGCAGGATTGCAAGTTTGAGGCCAGCCCAGGCAAAAGTAGCAAGACCCCTGTCTCAAACAAAAGGGCCAGAAGCACTGCTCAAGTGTGGAGCCCTTGTCCAGCACAGATGAGGCCCTGGGTTCCATCCCCAGTACCATCAAAAAAATCCTAGCCTTGATTATAATCTGCTTTAGCTTGCTTTAGCTAAATTGTGCCTGGGGTGTGGCTCAAGTGGTAGAGCACCTTCCTAATCACAAAGTCCTGAGTTCAAAACACAGTACCGCCAGAAAAAAATAGCTTGATAATTTTGATTTGAACACAGGTTTTCATAACCTCCTAAAGCAAAGCACAATACAGTGGTAGGATTTGCTGTAAGCCTCCGGCAAGTTGATGAGTGAAAAGCCCAGAACATTTCTCCCAAAATGTGTGCCTGCCAACTTGGGTCAAACAGGAGCTGAAGCACCACCTCAGCTGTTCTGGATTCGAGTGGTATTTGTTAAATATAACAATCTCAGTGTTTCTGATTTTGATGTAACCTTTTTTGTGTGTGCTGGCACTAGCCTTTGGGTTTTTTAATTAACGTGGCTTCATTGTGGTATTTCCATGTGTGCGTATATTGACGTAACCTTTTAAGAGTCCCAGCCCGGGAGTGAGTTCATACCATTCAGTAGGCCAAGTGGCACGCATGGCAGGAAATGAAGAAAAATGCTTCCCCTTTCGGGGGGTGGCTCAGTGCCTGCGCTCACACCGAGGTCTGCTCCAGTCGGCTGCTGACCTGTATTTAAACTGTAGTTGGGATGCACCATGTTCATGATTGTAGTCAGTGAAGAAAGGCGTGTTGGAAGATGTCTGGTAGTCCTGAGGAAATGACTTGGGAGAACTGTCAGGATCATAGTGTGTTTAAGGGATGGAGCTGTGTCACAGGCAAGTCACAGGCGGGTTGTGCCTTAGGTCCCGTTTACGCAAAATGCTAGGACAAGACCCCTCTCAGCAAGTCCTGCGCCTGCCTTTATTTCAGAGCCACTATCGAGATAGCACCTCCTGTGGGAATGTGTTTAGAGGCTGTCAGATGCTTGTCCTTAAAGACACTTGAAAAGCAGCTGTGTGAGGACAGAGGGTCTTGAAGGTGACAAAGAGTGGACAGTTTGTTGGGATGGGAGGTTTTTCTAAAGGTTTTCTTTGTGTTTGTGAGACAGGGTCCTGCCTCCAGCTGAACCTTTTGAATGTGAATCTCTGCTCAGCTCCTGAGTGCTGGGATTGAGACATGCTGGGCCAGACGTTCTCATTTAAATCCGTGAACTGGCAGTACTTTGAATTCAAACGTTTTTACACAAAACAGAAACTTGGGCATTACCAGTTTTTTGTTTGGCAGTACTGGGGTTTGAACTCAGGGCCTTGTGCTTGCTAGGCAGGTGATCTACAACTTGAGTCCCACCAGCATTTTTTGTGTTTTGTCTTAGATAGGGCTCCAACTATTTACTCGAGGCTGGCTTTGAACCAAGATCCTCCTGATCTGTTCTAGGATTACAGACAAGAGCCACCAACACCTGGTGGCCTTACCACTTTTTTTTTTTTTTAAAACACTGGGGATTGAACTCTGGTCCTCACGCTTGCTACACAGGTGCTCTTAGCACTTGAGCCACTCCTCCAGGCCACATGGTCAGGTTTTCAGCTGCCAAATTTTTTGTTTCAAGTGGGGAAAGCAGTTGAAAAGCACGTACCTGTTAAAAATGAGAGGTGACACTTGGGGGTCATGCTAATTACAGAATGTGCTGAGGAGATTTTCCCAAAGCGAACCTGATCCACTTCCGACTTTCTATCTCCAAGAAACAGCCAACTCGGGCCCACTGCTGAGTGGCCTGACCCTGGCCCCCAGATCAAGCAGCTCAGCCCCCTTTCTCTCGCTGAACTGTCTCTCTGTTTGATTACTGTAAGTGCTGGGCTGGTTACAGCGGGGGGTCTGGTGTCAAAGTGAGAAGGGGAAAAACCCCAAGGAAAGCAGCAGTGCTCATGTTCTGTGCTGCTAGGAAGTTGCACCGTCTTCTTCTGATTTGAAGAGAAATTAAGGGCTGATGCAGCGGCTTAAGTGGCAAGAGTACCTGCCTAGCAAGCATGAGGCCCTGAGTTCGAACCCCAGGACTGCTAAAGAGAATTAGAAATAAAACCATGATGTAGAAAAGAAATAGTATCTGTAACCTCGCACTGTGCTGTGTCAGCAGTCAGCCCTGGCCAGGTAGAAATCGACGCCTAGTCGTTTCCGTACATTGTAATGACCAGTGCGCCTGAGGCAACCACATGCAAGACACCAAACATACAGTGATACACGAAGACAAGTTATGTTTTCGTTCCCAGCGTTTGGCAACATCCAGGACATTAGAAAAGTAGAAATCATAAAATTCTTTGGTAGAAAAATTAATCAACCCTCCCTTTGATACACTCACAAGAACTTCAAGAACATGCACAAAACCTTCCCTATTTGTAAAGTTACTGGAAAATTCTCACAAATGCATGTTGGCAGCTCAGAGACAGTAAATAAAAAAATACAGTAATCTATATAAATTTTTAAAAAAGATAAGTGGCAAATTGTCACTAGTAATTGACCTGGTTTTTGTATTCTGAATGTTTCAAAACGGTGAAGAAATGGTGCCAAACCTACTGTCCAGTAGCCATCCGTCAGTGCGGCATCAGGGAGGCCCTTAACGAAAGGCGTTTCTAGAAACTGTGCTGCAGGTGCACAGGCGCAGAGACCTCCAGCTTTTCCAGATCCTGGGTGCGACAGGTCTGATGTGTCCTCCTCGCTGAGGTGAACGTCAACATGACATTTAGGCATCTTTTGGTTCAAGAGTCAAAGGGACAGTTTCTAGGTTGTGTTCCTTCTTTTTGCCTGGCCGCCTCGGTACCACGAGCCCTAGGTGTGTCTGTGGCTGACCCCAGCTGGGGAAATTCTTTTAACTTACGGTTTGCTCATTTACACGCATCACGGAGGCTTAGCACCTTTCAGTACAAGGTCAGAATCTGACGGTGAGCAGGAAATGCAGAGCCCAGAGTAAGCATCTGGACGCTTGGCGCGTCCAGCTGTCCCTTCCCCAGAGGAGGGGGTGGTGATCACTTTCGGTGCGCTCATCGCTCATCGCTCAGCCACAGCAAAGCTGTGAGGCACTGTGAGGGGACGGCGTCTCACGGCCGTTCCGAGCGCACACTCCCAGCACGGCCTCTTGCGCTGCAAACCCGCTCCTCGGCAGCACGTGCACACGTCCCTTCTTACTGTCGGGCCGGGGAAACACTGGCCTCCTGGAGTGTGGTCTCTGGGACCCGGGGGACACCTACATCATCAACCATGTGCCCAGGTCCAGGCGCAGCTCGCCTCCACCCAGCACTTTCCTCAGGCCTCGGGTGCCGTCCTGGGTCAGCCTCAGGCCTGCTCTGGTCTGGCAGATGGCTCTGTTCCCGTGTGACCCTCTGCGTCTCTGACTGAAGGAAGGTACAGGTGGGTTTACGCGTGCACTGTGCTTTCAAACTCCACCCTGGAGGCAGCCGTGGCAGGTGGTGGGCCCAGCATGGGGTGTGGCTGAGGGCCTCTCGAAGTCACATTCCAGCTCTGTGACTAAGGAGGCCACTACTGCTTGCCCCGCTCGAGCTCAGCAGGGGTAAGCTGGGGGCCCTGATGGCTTGGGCGGGCTTCAGTGTGTGGGTGCCCTGCCAAGGGGCAGGTCTGTGAGCACAGCTATGGAGGAGTGACGATGAAATCAAAGCCAGGACCTGAGTAAAGGTCACTTTAAAGCTGTGAGGCGGGTGGACCGTGTCTGAGGAGCCAGCACCACGTCCGCCAGGCACGCTTTCCCTCAGCGATGTGTACATCAGCTGCTGTTTCAACTGAGTAATGAACAATACTGTGGGGAGGTGGCCCCGTAAAGAGCTACTCGAGCGGCTTTCTCTACTGGGAAATGTCACCCCCGTGACAACTCGTGTTCTCCTTCAGTGAGTAACCCAGTAGTGGGACGCGAGTTATCCCCCGCTAGGCCCAGGACTGCGGCTCAGCATGCAGGTGACTTCTGCTTCCCCTCGCACATGCATTTTTAAAGACGTGAGTGGCGCCCTATTCTCGTCTTCCCCACTGTAGACTGAATGGTCGCTACCTCTCACCATGAAGGGGACAGTGAAGGAAGAGGACTTCTTCAAAGGAGGAATGCGCTCCCCGTGGGCCACTGTGGGAAAGCTAGGCTTCGTGAATTACGACTCTGGTAACTCACCTCATGGCAGGAGCCCTTGAGAGTGGGGCCACTTCCATCCCTCACCACAGTCTCCCTTGAAGTCCTCCCCCTGCAGCACAAAGTAAACCCACCATTAACCTGAAGTAGCAATGAAGGTTTGCGGCAGTGGGGTGGAATGCTGGCTGGCCACGGTGGCAGAATCGAGAGGACCATGGCAATAGCAGGTGCACATATCCTGCTCCCTGGAGGGTGAACCGTGGGGTGAACTCCCATACTCACGCTAGCTGGCCAACTGCAGGAACAAGGTAGAACTGTCTGGCGAATGGTTCACCTGGCAGATCGTACACTTGTGAGTTCCCTGGAGGGAAAGGATAACACCAGAACACTGCAATTGTGCAAGGAGTGTCAAGGTGCAAGTTTCCTAGTCTAACAAGATCTAGAAAGCTAAGCGACCCCTTTAAGCTTTTAAAAAAGAAAACAGCCCCACAGCTCTTTGGCAACTACTGTTCTAGTTCCCATCGACCACTGTACACCTTCAAATTAACGACGCCGGGCTATGGAGTAGCCCAGTGGCAGAGCATGTGCTCCCCAGCACAGGCAGCACAGAGAAAGCTAAGGCAGCACTCCCCCTGGGTGTCCTGTCTCTGGAACAGGAGGCACAGGAGGCCACAGAGGCTGTGGGTAGAGGCCTGGCCCTCCAGCTAATGAGGATGACCCATCTTACTTCTTCAGGAGGCATATCACAACCTAGCAAGAAAACCGGTAAGAACAACCCTCACCCCCTCTGGTTCCCAGGTCCCCCAGGGCCTGACACTCACTCCATCTTGCAGTTACAATGAAATGAAAACAGCCACTGCCCCTGTTTGTGGAAGGCATGTGCGTGCTTACACTTTTTCCTGATCTTCACGGTCACGTACTCCCTGTGGTCTGCCTCCTCAGTGTCACCTAGTGAGGCAACACAACTTGGCACTACCTGAAGTAACTCCATTATTTTTGAATTCTGTGATTTAAAAGAGAAAAGGTAACAGTACGGTTTTGTTAGGTTTTCTTAGCAGGTACTCAGTTTCTATCTAAATGAGGAACTGGTGTGGCTATGCAAAGCCCAGAAATAACTGAGCAGCCAGGCCTGCCGCCTGCTCTGCCCTCTGCTGGGCTCTCTGGGCTGGTACTTAGCCATTCTGTGCAGATGAGTGACAATCACAACCTACTATCGCAGGGTTATCGGAAGGTTAGAGAAGGGCCACCACAGGCCACCACACAGCAGAGAACACAAATCAGCTGTCGGCACACTTTCACACAGCTATACCCCAGAACCTCGCTCCATTGGCCACCAAAGCGCCTGCCAACCCACTCAGGTGGACACCTAAAACTGACTGTCACAGGCCCACCCCTTGTCCCCTGGGTACCCACACACCTCCTTAACCATACTTAATCTCCACATGAGGACAAAGTCAAAAGCATACCACTGAAAACTTAGTAAGGCTATGATGAGGCTGGATTTATGGGGTTTTTTGGTTTTTTTTTTTTTTGCAGTACTGGGGCTTGAACTCAGGGCCTACACCTTCAGCCACTGCACCAGCCCTTTTTTTATGATGGGTTTTTTCGAGATAGGGTCTGGAACTATTTGCCTGGGCTGGCTTTGAACTGCGATCCTCCTGATCTCTGTCTCTTTCATAGCGTGAGCCACTGGTGCCCAGCTTATGATGATGTTAGCATCTCAGTCGGGGGATGTACCAGCCTACCAGCTGTTCATTCTTAGTAGAAAGCTAAAGATTCACCACGAAGAGGGCAGAAGAAAGATCAGGACTTTCCCCACTGTTCTGCCCAATAAGCAGCACTGGCGGCAAATCTCACTGAACTCAAGGATTTGTTTTAAATCCCCAAACTAACCAAGCTTTCTCCATTGTGCTGTGGGAATGATGGAGCCAGAGCAGTAGCTTAACTTGCTACTTCCCTTGATTGCTCGATGGAGCTAAGTGTACCAGACCTGTGAAAACTACCCAAGCCAGGCATGGTGGTGCACGCCTATAATCCCAGCACTCGGGAGGTTGAGGCTGGAGCATCACAAGTTAGGGCAGCTTGGGTTACATTTAAAAAACAAACAAACAAAAACAAACACAAAGAAGCTATCCCTGAAGGAATGGTTCCAGGTGACAGAGAGGAGGTGCCTACAGGTGTCTATCACACTGGCAGACTTCTGCACAGTAGCTCAGGCTAGCAGAGCACGGGAGATCTAGCCATCGCCATTTCAGACCCAGCTGGGACAAAGGAAGCCTCATGGAGCCCACAGAGCAGGGGCCTCCCGGGCTCTTCGCTCGCTCCACTCACCCGCTCGGCACAGTCCAGGGCTGTGCGCTGCCTCTCGTTCAAGATGTGAACAGATGCCCCGTGAAGCAGCAGCAGCTCCACCACGAAGACGTGCTTTCCCGCCACGGCCTCGTGCAGGGCCGTGTTGCCCCTGTTGTTGCGTGTGTCGATGGAGACCCCGTGCTGCAAGAGAAACCGGCGCACAAGGGATGCTGAACAGGTAGGCAGAGCCACAGGCGGGTACACGGCGCTCACGAGGGCGTTCCCTCAACTCCGCACGTCTGAAGACGTCCTTAAAACCGGGACGGGGATAAGAGTGACTGAGAGAAAAGGCTGATGGGCAAAGGCGTTCACTGCAGCACTTGTCATGACAGCAGAGAAGCAGCCACGCACGCGCACACAGCAGTAACAGTCAGAAAGCACCATGGCGGCTGGAGTGGGACAGCGCCTGTCTAGTAACGGTGAGGCTGAGTTCAGCCCCCTGTATGGCCCCCAAAACCCCAGCACCTCTAAAAACCCCACTGTGGTGTGTGCGTACTGGTCAATAAAAATGAGGTTTGTTCTTGGTTTCTGTTTCTGTGGTATGGGGAATGGGGCATAGGCCGCACGCTCGTGCTACCATTTGAGCCACACCCCAGTCCAAACACTGAGGCTGTCGTCAAAGATTTTCAGTTAAGTGAGAAAGAAAACAATACTAGTTTAAAACTGTACACATTATTTCATTCATTTTTGGCTTTTTGAGACAAAGTCTCACTGTAGTCAGGCTGGCCTCAAACTCTCAAGTCCTGCCTCCACCTCCCAAGGGCTGGGATTACAGGTGTGCTCTACCACACCTGGCTATTTTTTTTAAAAGTCCACCAAAGCCAGTTCCTTTGAGCTCCTTTAGGTTATGGACAAGTTGGCCTTTCTCTACTTCTTCAGATTCTTTGTTCTACATCAACATGTGTTCCCTTCAGCAAGAGGGCAAAAGAGGAGCAGTGACACACAGCGCCACTCCACTCCCCGAATCGGGTAGCAACTTTAACCCATGGTGAAGAGGCGAGGCTCAGACATTCAGGCAAAGCAGAGCTCCATCCTGAACGCTGCGCCCGATGCAGCACCGGTGTGTAAGCACTGCCCCTCCCATCCGGGACCACGAGTGGGATGCAGGTGCCAGGTCCCCCCCCAGAGGCTGGAGGCCAAGGCACGGGGAAAGGCCTGGTAAGGTAGGAGGGCCTTACCTGCAGCAACAGGGCTGCGACTTCATGATGGCCACCCGAGCAGGCATAGATGAGGGGTGTGTTCCCACGGAGGTCCTTGTTGTCGGGTTTTGCATTTGAGTCTAGCAGGCACTTCACCGCCTAGCCCAGGGAGGAGACATTGCAGCCTAGTTAAAACTTGGGAAAAGAAATCGTCTAAGTTCAAACTTCTGACTTCTCGGTAAGCTTACGCGGGCTGACCCCAGGGAAGAGACAATGACAGGGGTGGGGAGTCACCCGCAGAGGGCCTGCCATGTGCCAGGCAATGGGCTAGGCCTGGGGTGAGAGTTGTGACTGTCACTCCAGTTTCACAGACCAAAGGCAGATGCCAGAGGCACTCTGCTGCATGCTCATGAGAGAGAAAACACCAGAAACGCAGCCCTATCTTTAAAAACGTAAGTGGGACTGACAAAGGAAATGAAAAACCACATAGGGGCCATGGCTGTACTTTATAAAGGACTAAACTGCTGGCACAGGCTGAAGGTGACAAGATAACCGAACCTGAGAGCCCTGCACGCAGCTCTGGGCCACCCAGTGGAATGGCCACGGAGAGGGGACACCAAGCTCTGTGTTCAGCTGCCCAGGGTCCTGCCACATCTCAGCATCTCTGGATGGGGAGGAAGGAAGTGAGCCTGTCCTCCAGGCTGCCCGCCGAGCCACTGCCTCATCACCGAGTGCAGACTGAGCTGAGAGCCAGCCCCTGCTGCACCGCCCTGGAAGCAGAGCCGCACCTGGAAGTGGCCTTTCTGGCAGGCCAGGTGGAGTGGAATGGCCTGGTCTGCGTCCTGGGCTTGCGGGTTGGCACCATGCTTCAGCAGCAGAGGAATGAGGTCTGCGCGGCCGTGCAGGGCAGCAAGGTGCAGCGGGGACGAGCCATCCTGGTTGGTGACATTCACACCAAGCCCACTGACCGGGACCTTTGCCAACTTCTAGGAAATAAGGAAGATGGAAGAGAAAATTCATGAGTGTTCAAGACACTGGGCCGAAGGAATGGAACAGTCTGCACCACAGCTCCTGTGCCCTATCCTGTGCCCACTGGTGAACTCCTACAACTTGGGAAACGTGTGATGTACCAAACCAAACGATTACCTTTTTTTTTTTTTTTTTTTCAGTATTGGGGTTTGAACTCAGGGCCTCATGCTTGCTAGGCAGGTGCTCTACCACTTGAGCCACTCCACCTTTTTGTGATGGGTTTTTTGAGATAGGGTCTCCAGAAGCATTTGCCCGACTGGTTTTGAACCATGGTCCTCCTGATCTCTGCCTCCTGAGCAGCTAGGATTACAGGTGTGAGCTAACGTGCCTGGCTAACTTCTATTTCTTAAAGGACACCCCCTAAAATGATGCCCTACGGTGCCAGGTCATTCAATGGGAAAGGAAAGTGTCCAATGAATGGTGCTGGGACAATAGGGTGGCCACCTGTGGGAACGCAGAGCAGACCCCATCTCACCCCAAACACGAAAAGCCAAAGATGTCACAGACAGACACACCACAGTGACAGCTGTGTAGCTCTCCAATCAGGACAAAGAAGGAAAGCTTTAAACCACAGCGGGTAGGCACAGGTTTCTTAGATAGGACACAAAGAGAAAAACCACAAAAGGAAAGTCTGATAAACTAGACTTCATAAAAACTTTAAATGGTGCAGTGGCTCAAGCAGTAAAAGCACCTGCCTAGCATAAGGCTCTTGAGTTCAAACTCCAGTGTCGCCAAAAAAAACCCAAAATGTGAGAAAATGTTTGCAATACATATATCTCAAAGAAGTTGGACCAAGTTCTTTAAGAATTAAAAAAAGTTAATCCATTACAGCTCAACAAGACAATCCAACTTAAAAAAAAAATAAGGCAAAATATCCAAAGAGACCCTCTCACAGCAATGCAAGTGAACGAACGGTCAGTGGATGCACACCTGAGGAAGGAGTCACATGGCTGTACAATCGGTCAGCAAGGGCAAACCAGAGGGCCAGGATCAGTGGCGGTCTCCAGGGACAAGGGAGGAAAAGGAAAAGGAGGCGATGACGACGGACACGGTGCCTCCTTGTTGCTGTGGTGGGGACCTGGCTCGCACATGCCATGACACCTCCTCTCCACGCCCCCCCTCACCGTGGTCGTGAGCCACCATACTGTCCCAGCAGTCTCTGGGTCAATCATGTCGCAAGGAAGACCGTCAAAGGGATAAACAGAACTGAACAAAACACAAGTACCAACTGTGTTTGTATTACACGCTGAATCTTACTTTAAGATTCACACCTCAATAATCAAAAAATAAAACACAAATTATTTGCGTATTTAAAAAGAGGATTCTATGTAAAAAATCACAATGAAACCCTTGTACAAGAAACATGGATGCTATAAATTACCTCACTAATGAAGGGACCGGGTGGAACCTGCCCCAGCTGACAGAGTCGGAACCCCAAGTGCTGACACGGAGGTGGAACCACCAGATCCCGCACGCCGCTGTGGGGCACTAGATTAGCGGCTTCTCACAAAGGTAAGCACGCACAGCTCAACCCCAGAGGACAGCAAGGGGTGATCACAGCTCCCGTGTAGACCCAGCGATCCTGCTCCTAGGTGTCCAGCAAGACGCTGTCCACCCACCATCAAAGAATAGCAGCACAGATGTCAAAAACACCAAGCGGGGACAGAGGCGGTGGCTGCACTCTGGGCCCAGCTACTCAGGATCACTGCAGCCGGGCAACACAGTGAGGCCCTTCTCGAAAAATTAAATAGGGCTGGGGCTGTGGCTCAAGTACAGAATGCCTGCCACGCAAGCACGAGGTCCTGAGTTCAAACCGTTACCCCCCTCCCAAAATGGTGAAAGAAAATAAAGTAAGACGAAGAATCCTGAGTGAAGAGCCATCCACGAGAGTAGCCACAGACTGGCCACCCTAATCTGCAGATGTGCAGACGGGCGCTCAATCTGCCCAAATCCAAAACACACTCTGAAACGCTTCTGGGCCCGAGCGCTTCAGAGAAGGGGCACCCGACTCAACCTGTTTCTGCCTACGACATAAAATCTGGGACCGTGCCAGCTAACGTCCAGCGAAGGGGAACCTGGGGTGTTGCTGGACAGGGTGGGGAGGGCAGGAGACCTCGCCGACCTGACCACTGCTGCCCTTACGCTATGCACACCTGCTCCACCCTGATGCAGTGATGCGAGTAACTCACAAGTCAGCCCAGAAAGCCCGCGTTGTCTGAGTCAGGATCCTGCTACAGAGCCTGGCTGCCTCAGCCTCCGGTCTGCTGGGATTGCAGGTGTGCACTGCCATACCCAGCTTCGTAAGTTTTTAAAAACATTCTACTAGCATAAGCTCATGTACAAAGGGGGTTAACTGTGACACTTATATACAAGCACGTAAGTGTGATCAAATTCGCTTGTGTCTTCCCACTCCTTCTGAAGTTTTTAGGAAGTTTCTCTGTGTTATTTTCACACATATATAATATCCTTTGGTCATATTCACCTCCATTCACCTCTCCTTCCCCCTCTCCAAGATCCCTTCCTCCCTTTTTACAATCATGTCACTATTTTTAGATTTAGATTCTGCATATGAGCAAAAACGTGAGACAGTTATCTTTCTGAGCTTGGCTTTTCTCACTCAACATGGTGGTCTCCAGTTCCATCCATTTTCCAAATGACATGATCTCATTCTTCTTCATGGCTGAATAATACTCCATTGTATATACGTACCACATTTTCTTTATCCAACAATGTTTGTCATTTGTTTTCTTGACCACAGCCATTACAAATGGAAGGAATTACAAGAGGAAAGGAATGAGTGGTTAAAGAGAGTGTAAACTTCATCCAGTCACATCTACTGACACTTTACGTGGTGAACTGTGAGGTAGGGAAGGGTGGGGAACAGGGAAGTGACTGTAACCACAGCAGCAGGGACGTGGTCACACCACCTGAAGCACAGGACACCGACTTGCCCGAGGGCATGGTGCCCACTCTGCAGGTCCTTTGAAAGGCCATCTGCCTCTCACAGTGACTCAGCTGGGGGATGGGCTAGTGTACCATACGCAGCCGGGAACAGGACAGATCCACACTGCACATCCCCAGTCACATCCCGCCCTGCAACTGCAGAGCTAGAGCTGCTGCGTGAGTGACAAGTGTCATCAGTCTCAATATTCCTGAGTGAGAGTGACCTGCCAGAAGCTGCTGTAATTATCGTCTGCCAGGACAAAGGCAGTACCACCATCTGCTGTGTAAAAAGGCAAAGGACTCTCCCAGGATGGGGCACAGGCACCTGTGGTGACACAGCTAGGACATGAGTGCCCAGCACACACAATTCCACACACAGCTGCTCAAGAGGAAGCACGTGACAGAGCAGGCAGATCCGTGTGCGAAAAAATCACAGACAGAATCACTGATGCCACATGGTGAAGATGTCACTCCCTGAATCCATACGTTGATGTAAAGCGATTCCTGTCAAGATCTCAGCAAGGTTTTGTTCTGCAGACACAATGAGCCTGTTCTAACACGCAGAGGAAGGCACAAGCCACAGACAACTACAACAACCCTGCAGAGAAAAATGGACCAGGAAGACGTCACCTGTCTAGAGCCACAGCAATCAGGACAGGGTGGGAGTGGGCAGCAGGGGACACAGGTCAGTGGGATAGAGCAGAGAACCTGGAAACACACTCGTACAACATGTAGTCAGTCAACTGGGGTGTAACAGCAAGTCCATGCAGGAAAGGCAGCCTTCTCAAATATGGGGTCCACAGGCCAGAAGACAACGCAGCTTGAGTGGCTCAAGTGGTAAGAGTGCTTGTCTAAGAAGGGCACAGCCAAGTCCAAATCCCAGTGAAACTGAACCTAAACCTCAAACCCGAAGAAAAATCAACTCCACTTGGATCAAGTACTTAGCTGTAAAATGTAATATTATAGCTTTAGAAAGAGAGAAAAAACATTCTAATCTAGAGCCAAGCAAAGAGATCTAACCTTGGCAAGGAAAGCACAGCCCATGAAAGGGGAGACTGACAAACTGGACTTCAAAACACTTGCTCCGCACGGCCCACAAGAAACACTTCAAATGAGCTACGCACTGAAAGAAGTTTACGAACGGTGTGTCTGACACACAGCTCGTGTTTGCAATAAAGACGCGAAATGCAACAGGAGGGAGGGAAGGGGAGAGGGAGGGCATGCAGAGGGCGTTTTCCCGAAGGCAGAAGGAGCTGTTCAACATCAGAAGTCCTCAGGGAAATGCGATGAACACGAGGAGACAGCACCGCACACCTGTGAGCACGGCTAGCATAAAACAGTAACAACACTGTTACGGTTTATACATAAAATCTCCCCCAAAGGCCTGCTCAGCCCCCAGCAGCAGTGCTCACAGGTGTGGCTTTGGGGAAGGGACTGGATGGCAGGGCTCTGCCCTTACTGGTGGATTAAGCCATTCATGGGGTGGTAACGTGTCAGGCCATCTCCTCCCTCCCTCTCTCCACCCGCTGTGCTTCCTGACCACCATAAGGTGAGCAGCTCTGGTCCACTACACCTCCCCCATGATGCTCTGCCTAACCACAACACAGAAACAACAGTCATGTGACCATGGACTGAAACCTCTGAAACTGTGAGCCAAAATATACTTTTCCTCCTTTTAAGCTGTTATTCTCAGGTATTTTGTCACAGCTGACAGACACAAACAGCAAGTGCTGACGAGACCGTGGAGGAACGGAAGCCCTCGTACACTGCCAGCAGGAATGTAAAACTCCACGGAATTACCATATGGTCACCAAATGACTGGCAGTGGTGGCACTCTTGGACTTGTATCCTAGAGAAATGGAGACTCACAAAACCTGCATCACACATTCTAGCAACTTTATTTGTAGTGTCTTTAAACCAAAATAACTGACATGTTCTTTGAAAGAACACACACAGCTGTGCCTATGTGCTACGGAATACTACCCAGCAAAAGGACCAAACTGATCCAACAACCCAGAACCATCCTGAGGGGTGCAAGCCATCTCAGAGGTTTTATACTGGGTACACTTTTTTTTCTTGTTGTTGGCAGTGGGGTTTGAACTCAGGGCCTCACACCTGGTAGGCAGGCACTCTAACACAAGCCACTCCGCCAGCCTGTTTTGCTTTAGTTAATTTTCAGATAGGGCTTCATGCTTTCGTTCCTTGGCTGGCCTTGCACAGTTTTCCCCACCTCTGCACTCCTTGCAGCTGGAATTACAGGCATGAGCCACTGTGCCTGCCCAGCCCTCCATCCCACCCTTCCTTCCATCCCTTTCTATTTATTTTGAGACGGGATCTGAGCTCAGCTGATTCTTAGCCTCCTGAGTGCTGGGACTGAAGGTGCAAATTAGTGGTTTCTGGGGGTTCGGGACTGGGGTGGAGGATGGGGTGGGTGAGTGGGATGGGACTGGGGTGGAGGATGGGGTGGGTGTGGTTGTAAAGGGTAACATAAGTGGTTCTTCTGTGGCAGGAAAACCATTCTTTACCTCCAGTATGGGATGGACATGCAGAACACACACACACACACACACACACACACACACGAGCACAAGTAAAACTGGGAAATTTTCATTGATAGACTACATGATCTGTAGCTTTGTAAGATGTTACCAGGTGGAACCCCAGGTTGAGGGTATGCGGAACCTCTCTGTACGTGGGGTACATTCCCTACAAACCACGAATCCTTAAAGGCAGCCAAGAAACAGGTGTGTAGCCTCCCCCCAAGTGCTCCAGCCCACAGAGACCCCCAGCGCCTGCTTACGATCTCCTGCTGTGTGGGACATCTGGCCTGTGGGCTTACCCTGCCCCTAAGTGCCAGGCAGCAGCAGCCAGCCTGAGCCCACCCCAGCTACTGAGTCCCCAGCACATAACGGGCATCAGGTGCCTGTCCACAGCTACTCAGTCCTGCCCCCACCGACGGAAACCAAGGCCACACCTTCTGAGCTGGAGCACACTTGGGGCACTGGCACAAGGGGTGACAGAATTCCAGGTCTGCAGCACTGACGATTTCATCCCCTTCATCCACATCCTCCTCGATCCACTCCAAAAGGTAACGCACCTGGTGAGGACAGTAAGGAGAAAGGGGTCAAAACGCTATCCTGAGAGCCATCACAAGCTCTGGCATCTTACACACCCATCCACACATCTGTTTTCAAATCAGGGCCCACGCGTCCTTCCTGAGCCACCAAAGTAATTGGTAATCAGAAATGGTTTGGTGGGGGCAGAGAATGACCCAAGCATTGTATGCACATATGAATAATAAAAAAATTAAAATTAAAAAAAAATGGTTTGGGCTCCATAGAGAAGATGCCAGGGTTCACCTGGATTCTGGGTTTTCATGTCCTTCCAATGGGGACAGAGAGAACAAAGCCACCGTTCTCCCAGCTCACGTTAGTGTCTCTTAGTGTCTTACAAAGGGGCAAGCTGGACCTGCCTCCTGGTGAGGGCCTTTGAACTCTGCTCCCAGGTCTGTCCTCACATCACCCAGTCAGGTGGCTGCTGAGGCAGAGAGCCCAGGCTGAGAAGCCAATGCACTCATAGCACATGGGAGTCAGTGAGGATGCAGCCTAGACCTGGGCTCCCTGACCCTGTGCCAGCCTGGGGGTGGGAACCTGCAGGCAGGTGGCCTGGAGGGGGCTAGGGGGGATGCCATGTGGGGTCGATCTCAGAAGGGTATCTGTTTGTCCCCCTCACGAGTGACCCCAGCCCCAACCACCTCCAGCAGGAACGAGCAGCTGTGTCCTGACCTGGCACAGAGACATGGCTTCTTAAACCCTGGCTCTTGGGTGCCTTGTTTGCACTGGTGAAGAACACTGGGCTCTCTTGGGGCTGGGCTCATGAGAAGAGTACCCAGCACAAGCCACACACAGGCATCCGTGTCCCCAGAGCAGCCATGTGTCATCTGATGGGCCAATGGCAGCCTCCAGGTGAAGGCTGATATACCTGGTAACTGACATGGATGCTCACATCCCACTAACTCTGACCTGGACCATAAACTCAGCCACCGGTGCAAAGCACTCGTGAAAACCACTGCATGGCAAGGTTCGTGAGATGATTTATTCAGAGACACTAATTCAGCAGGCACCCGATCTACTCCTCCATTAAAATGGAAGCAGAGTCCTTCCAGGAAGTTAAAGTCAGAGGAGCCCTGCCCACAGGACTCTCACGGAAGCGGACTGCTGTCCACTAACCTCCTCATGAGGTGACCTGTCCCTTAACAGCAATGGTTAGGGCAGATGCCTTCCCTCAAGTCACAGGAGCCTCTCTAGCTACCACCCCAATGTGACCACTGCTTGTGACACCCTGGAGCCCCAAACCCCAGACTCAGTCCTCTGGCCCAGGAGTCCCAGCCATCCTCACTACCGCCCAGCCACTCCACAGCGTTGCTTCAGGTCTGGCTTCTTGCTGACATCTTGCCACATCCTGGAGCAGGAGCACTAGAAGGCAGGGGCCATGCCCACTATGTACCTCCCTATTTGTTATTTACTGGGAAAACATAATACCATCGTTACTAGCTGGGGGAGTGGCTCAAGTGGCAGAGCACCTGCCTAGCAAGCGTGAGGCCCCAAGTTCAAACCCCAATACTGGAAAAAAAAAAGTTATTTAAAACAAATCATTACTAAATACAATAGAACCTTTGCACCTGAGGGCACATGGTTCTGAGGAGCCCGCCCTTAAGAAAAACTGTGGTCGCTCAGGAAGCCTGAGTCGGCACTGTACCCCAGATTCTGGAGTCACATTTCCCATATGCCACCCAACTCATGCTGATGATAGACTAGGCTGCTTTCAATGCAGCTCACATCTTCACTTTATCAACTGGGCACACTCACTTTTACCTTCCTTTTGGGGCACCATTTGTTCTGCAGGAGGCAGGTTGAATAAAGGCAGGGCAACACTCAACAGAGCACACACAACTTCAGCACCACTGAGGGTCACGCAGGCCTGACCAGTTGAGGGTTGCCTGCATCCACCAAGCTGTGGAATGCACTCAGGAACTTCACATTTTTTGGTTTTGAAATTTATTTTTGACAATACTGGGTTAAAATCACATGTAATAAATCCAAAAATAAAGTGGGCTTACTCTCTCTGCTAAACGTACCACCTTCTAGGCAGAACTGAAGACAAGAAACCCAGCTGCACTGTCTCAAACCCAGAGGGGAGTGGACGAGGCTCGCTGAGAACTCACCATTTCCAGATCCCCATCGGCAACCGCTCTCAAGAGCTTTTCTACCTTAATGAAAGGACAGAAGAGGGTCGGGAAGATGATTTTAATAACACAGTAACAACAGAGATGACAGAAGCATTCTGAACACTTAGGAGCCTCATCTGTCTCTCGGTGAGCGGTGTTTAATGGGTCACTCAGAACCTTCCAAACACATCCTAAACCCGCTCAGACTGGATGCCTGCAAGTTGCTAATACACAGAGCCCACTGCCATATGTTAAGGAATATAAAATGTGCTGTTGATTACGGGGAAAGATGAGACATCGGCACTCAACTGCTCTCTAGGAAGCTGGCCGCCCCGACTCAGAACTATACAACTCGAGAGTGCCACGAGGAGGACCCATCCCAAGAATGACTCGGGGTCTTTGTTTGACTTGGACCAGGCCTCTGGGGTTCTGTGCTGCAGTTCTTCATGGAAATAAGGTGACTGATCCCCGAGAGCAGCACCCAGCTGAGGGGTGGAGAGGGGGTCTGGGATAGACTGGTGAACTGTCACGGGGGCTATGGGACAGCCTGAAAGTGACCACTCCTCAGTCACAGGGTGAGGTAGACTACTGGCCAACAGGCTTGAAGACAGAAGGAAAAACCAATAGGTGATCAACTGGCTCCTACAAAATGCCACATGTCCACGTGTAAATGTTTACACAGACTCTAGAAGCCAAGAACAGGCATCGGGTTATTAATGGAATGGGGTGCGGGGCAGAGAACATACTTTGTGAAGTCTGAAGACAGTGGACCCACTGATTTTCCTTAGACACACACACACACACACACACACACACACACACACGCACACACACGCACACGCACACACGCACGCACACACGCACGCACACGCACACGCACAGACTGCTTCAGGAGACCCCGCAGGATGGCAGAGGCGAGGAACACTGAGCTAGCTGGCCTAGGTGAAAGGCACTGACCTTAGCTATGGCAGGGAAGCAGCTGTCCTACCCAGCACCTGGTGAGTGAGCTGGCTAACTGCTGGCCCAATGGCAGGCCCACTGGTTCCCTCCCACACTCCGCACGCAGGCTCACCTCTCTGTAGTCCTTCCTGGCCTCCTCTTGTCTCACGCTCACCACTGTGGAGGAGAAGCTGGAGGAGGAGGACCCCTGGCTGACAGAGTCCACAGAGCGCTGAGGGGATGGCACGGGGGCCTGCAGTGAGGGACAAGAGACATGAGTGTGGCAACACATGAAGTCCAGAGCCCTTGGGCTCCAGTGTCACCCCAACGCAGTCCTGCCAGCTCACCTCAGAGGGCTTTGGCCTCTTTTCAAAGGACAGGCGATGGGCTTCCATTATGGAGAGGATCTAGGAGGACAGAGAGGCAGGAAAAGCACTGGATGAGGCAGCCACAAGAAATGACTGGCAGCCCCCTGCCTACCTACCACAGCAAGGGCCTGTGGCCACCATGCCCTGGGCAGATGAGGAAACCAAGATCCATCAGGTGGGAATTACTCAGGATCATAGCCAACAGCCTAGCCCGCTGCCCTCCTATCCAACCAGGAGTCAGTGCTTCCCAGGACCTCTCCCTGGAAGCTCACTTGACTGGCCCAGGGCTGTCTGTCCACAGGTTTCAAGTGTGACCTTCCCATGGCACCCAGGAGTCTCAGGGCAAGTTGTGATGGTGGCCTGCGCTCTCCTCTGCAGCTTCCCTGTAGAGGGGCCTCCGACTGAAGCCACAACAGCCCTCCTGGGAGGGCATCTCAGCCTGCCAGGCCTAGAGCGGCCCTTCTCTTTCTCTGCACTGCTGCACAGCTGAGCCCTGGGAGGGTTTGGGGGAGCACCGAGACCCCTGGAGCAAGGGACAGGGATTTAACCCCTTGAAACCTTATGTGACGTGTCCTATTCCATGCAAAACCGTAACGAAACATGAAGAGGATGGAAGGAACCCTCAGGAGGCAATGGTCACGTCACAGCACAGACTGTGGGGACGGCCTCACGGTGCACACTAACCTCCAGACACGCGGCTTTTTGTGGGTCACTCACACCCCAGTGAAGCAGTTTAAAAGTAAGGAAAACTTTGCTACTCCCATAATGACTTGGGACCCAGTGGAAAGAACTCTCTAGAAGAGAGGAGACTTACCAAAGCAAGCGAGGGGGTAAAACAGCCAAGCAGAAAGCCAGGCATGCACTAAATCAGGACCACTGCTGATCCGAGTACCCATGCAGGGCCACATGTCACAGTGACTGTGTCCTCTGCCTCCCTCGGGGCTCTCTACACCCAGACTGGGCCGGAGGGCAGGGCTCAGGCACTTCTGCTCCAAGCTGCCAGAACTATAAATCATTTGGTAAAGAAACAGGAACCAACGAGGCTCAGTGGCCAAATGAGAGAGAAGTTTCTGGAAGCCGACGTGGACTGCTCTGATCTGGAGCTGTCACCCGGCCACTGGCTGGAAAATCCATGGTGCTCAGGGCGGGGCCAATGCTGCTGGGAGTGGCCTTGTGACAACACACTGACAAAAATGCTAGTGACATTGAAAGTGACACCACTAAGAAGCCCCATAAACCACGAGGCCTGGATTGCAGCAAGGGGAGGCCAAGTTCCACCCTCAGACACTGATGCACGGCCAGTGAGGCCATGCATGGACACTGAGAAGCTCTACCTTGGGGTTGAGTGCGCACTGCTGCGGTGTCTCTCTCAGCCGGTTCTGGACCTCAGTGGGGGCCCCATTCTGCACTAGCGTCTCAATGATGCCCTGGTAGCCCCAGCGCGCAGCGATGTGGAGGGGCGTGTCTCCTTTCTCGTTCCCGATGTCCAGTCTGCACGACTGCACGTCGTAGTACACCAGAGCCTTCACACACTGCAGAGAAATCAGAAAACGGCACTGTGTGCTAACCTGCCAAGCAGCCAGCATCAGTCTGTCCTGGCTCAACTCAGGCTCCGCTCACCAAACCAGAGCACTGCAATGGGCGAGTACAGCTCAAGGGGATTGGGACACCTGGTTTTATTGGCAGAGCACAGCTGCCCATCAAGAGGGAATGGCTGGCTGCAACTGTGTGGTCCTCATGCTCAGGACAGAAACACAGTGGCGGGCCTGAAACAGTCATCCCTTGAAAAGTCTGTTCGCAAGTGTCACCTGGCTGCAGCATTCCCGGGACACTTGTGTTTGGAGAGTGTTCCCAGGCTTCCCTAACTGTGAAGGCAGCTCACTGGCCACACTTTGGTACCATGTGACTTGTCTGGTACATCGGGGTGAACAAGCACTTTCCCTGATGAACACCTCTGTGTGGAGTGACACCCTGTAGCTAAGGAATTAAGCACACCCTATGTGACTCGGAGGCTCGTCCCAGTTTCCTCAGGACTTCATCCCTGTGCCTTCCTCCCTGGTGCACACTGCTGTGTCTACTCACTGTGATGAACACAGCTATGAGCAGTGGACTCTCTCCTGACCACATACCCACAGCAGATCATCAGACCTGTGGGCAATCTAGAAGACCCTGAACCAGGCAGCTATTGAAAGATGGGCAAAGGCCAGGCCTGGTGGCATACATCTGTAATCCCAGCACTCAGAGGCTGAGACAGGAGGACAATGAATTCAAAGCCAGCCTGGGCTACAAAGTGAGACGCCATCTCAAAAACAAAAAAAAAGAAAGAAAGAGAGGCTGGAGACATAGCTCAAGCAGAAGAGCATCTGCCTAGCAAATGCAAAGCCCTGAGATCAAACCCCAGTACCGCCAAAGGGAAAAAAAAAAAAAGCCAGAATGAACAAGATCCCCACTGACTGTTGAGAGGCTGTTCACAGCAGGGTGAAAGAGGGTCTGGTCCTGTTTGGGCATCAACCACCAGACCCAGTGGAGGCTCTGAGGAGCCACAAATTTGCCTTCATGGAGGTGCAGGGGAGGGTGCAAAACCTATCATCCACATCACAAAACAGCAGGCAGAAATGAAAACAACAGAACTCCTGAAGTGGCTATGAGACCGAAAATGGAAACTCAGAATTAGCAGCCAGACAGGTCAGTGGAGACGAACGGAAACACCTGGATCTCAGAGTAACGGACAATCACATTCCAGATCTGTGACTTTAATCTAGCAGCTCAACACTTAACAATTTTTTAACTGAAAAAATGACACCCCTGATGCTCTGACAATTCCAAACACAGAACACGGCATGAAGCTAGTTAGAACAGCAATTTGCCCACTTACGTCCTCGTGCCCGCGGGCGCAGGCCAGGTGCAGCGGGGTGCTGCCATCGTTGTCCTGCACGTCAGTGCTGGCCTTGTGGTGCAGCAGCAGCAGCTTCGGGGACAGGAGATGGCCATGAGCCCGGGTCGGGGGGGACAGGAGATGGCCCTGAGCCCAGGTCGGTGGGGACAGGACATGGCCATAAGCCTGGGTCGGGGGCATCCTCGAGTTGAGACTCACGAGGACGTTCAGCCCATCCTGAACCTCAGGTACTCACGCAGCATTTGTAACCTGCAAAGCCCACATCTGAAGTGCTCCTGGTTCCTGGAAGGAGCCCAGGGCAGGTGCGCAGTGGATAAGCATGTGCTCTGCCCGAGCTCCCCCAGCTGAAGCTGAGCCAGCACAAGTGGGAAACTCCACACCTGGCCGCATGTCGCGATCACAGGTGGCGCTCAGTTGCACTTGGAAGCTGACCTAGCACAACCTTGAGGCCGTGTGAATCAGGTGTGTAGGAAACCAAGTGAACCTCGGGTTGGGTTTGGCTCCACTCCAAAGACATCTTGTTATGTACGTGGCAATTTCCAAAATCCAAAGTAACATGAAATCCAAGTGCTCCCACACACTCAGCCTGAGGGACGGACGCTCAGCCTGTGATGTTGTTAAAATCAGGCCAGAGCCTCACCCTTCCTGTCAGACGTCCCAAGTCGGCCAGGAAGGCTCCCATCTCCCCTGTCCAGGGGGCCGGACCCACCGCACCGCATACTCTGCATGGCTCCAGGAGACTGCAACCAGCACACAGCTTGGCCACCGAGTCCCCATGCAGAGCCAAGCCCCGCTGCTCACCGTCACGCTCTGATAGCCCTTCTGACACGCCAGGTGAAGCGGAGTGGACCCGTGGTAGTCTGTGGCATTCACCACAGCGCCCTTGGAGACCAGGAGATCGATGAGGGACGCCTGCCCTGCAGAAGAGAAAGACGTCACGGTGGAAAAGGAAGGAGAGGGGCTTCCCAGGCTTATGCAAGCCTGTCCCTCTATGTCACCCTAGGGGGCCAGGGCAGGAACCGCCAGAGACAGGCTTCTGCTTCAGAGGCATCAGAGCTGATGTCACCTTAGGGTGCCCTAGGAGGGACCCCACAAGTCCTCCTCTCAGCAACAAAAGGCAATAGGAGAGAGCCTTAGATGCTCACAGAAGATACCGCTGTTCATCAGTTTCCCAGGTGAAATAGTATGTAGCCATTAAAAATATTGCCAAAGGGGCCCAGGATGGTGGTTTACATCTATAATCTCAGCTACTCAGGAGGTAAAGGTAGGACAATAGTGATTCAAGCCAGACCAAGCAAAAGTTGGCCATCTAAATAATCACAGAGCAAAACAACTAGGGCAGGGCACTTGCCTAGTGAGCTCAAGGCCCTGAGTTCAATCCCAAGTACCACCAAAAAAAAAAAAATTTACTGACAAGAGAAAAGGCACTGATAAACATTTGTAGTGGAGAACAACACAGCCCAGAACAGTGCACACAGCTCAGTATTGCAAATTTCACATGCACACATCCTGCAGAAACTCCAGAGTCTGTGTTTTCTACCCTGGGGTGGGTGTGTGTTTTTCTGGAAATCAAACCTGGGCTTCACAAATGCTGGGCAAGCTCTTTGCCACTGAGCTACATTCCCAGTCCTGTCTTTCCTACCTTGAATATGCCCTTAAAAGACAAGTTAAAAAATTATTGTAGGTTGCAATGGTTCATGCCTGTAATTCCAGCTGCTTGGGAGGCAGAGATAGGAGGATCACGGTGTTCAAGGGCAGTCCAGGCAAAAATTCAGCAAGACCGTATCTCAAAGAATAGATTGGGCATGGTGGTACACATCTGTAATCCCAGCTAATCAAGAGGCATAGGAGGATTTCAATCTGAGGCGGGCCCCAAGCAAAAAAGCATGAGACCCTATCTGAAAAGTAACTAAAGCAAAAAGGGCTGGCGGCATGGCTCAAGTGGTAGAGCTCCTTGCCTAGCAAGAGCAAGGTCCTGAGTTCAAACCCCAGTACTGCCAAAAATAATTATTTTTCTGAGATTCGATCTCACTAATGTCCAGACTGGCCTTGACGTCAAGCTCCTTCTGCCTCGGCCTCCCAAGTGCTGGGATAATAGGTGCACACCAGGGCACTGGCCCAAAATTACTTCTTAAAGGCAGGGCTGTAAGAACTCCAAACTGATGGCCCAACAGCTGGGATTCCAGCCTGGCCCAACTGTCCCCACAGCCCGGGGCAGGTCAAGCATGGTTTCCAAGCCACAAGGACCATGTTTGTGCTCCTCCAGCCTGGGAGGTGACACAGTGGCCATTGAGGTCTGGGGACATTTGCTGCTGCCCTCTTTTCAGTCCTGTGGGGTGGGACACAGTGCAGTCTTCACCCTGTCAGCCAGTCCTCTGTGAGCTCTGGCCTCCATCCCTTCGCCTCCCTGGAAAACCCTCAAGTGACAGCCCATGCCTCATACCACAGAGAGCAGCCACGTGGAGAGGCGTGTGACCCCGGTCATCTCTGGAGAACGGAGTGACAACCGAGGGATCATTCAGCCTCCTGAAACAGAGAAGACACAGGAAGTGCCCTTCAGGAATGGCATGGCCACACCTCTCCTCGACGTGGCCAGACGCTGGGGTCCTGGACCTAGATGGGCTTCATCCTGTCTCTTCTGGGCTGTCCTGGGCACCGTGCAGCCCCCTCGCTCTTGCCCCTCCAGCATCCGGTCAAGGAGAACTGGAAGCCAAAGTATGACTCGGGGAAACAGACACCCACCCTGAAGCCCCTCTCTGAAGTGAGGCACGCCCTATACCAGCCCACCTGGGACCCAGATATTCACACAGCCTCCATTCTATCCGACTCTCCAGAGAGGAGACTGTTGGCAACCGCGTGGAAAAGGAAGCGAGATGCTCCCCGGGGCCCCGTGTCCACCCCGGGCAGCCTCTTACCCAGACACGAGCCTTTCGCAGTCATCACAGAAGCACAGTGGGTGGCACATCTTCTGGATGGCATCCCTATCATGGTCTTCTTGGCTCAGGAGCTTCTCCACTTCCTTCTGGTTCCCTGCTGCGATGTGCTAGAGTGACATCCCAGGTGTGATCAAGACCAACCAAGGAATGACTCACTGTTGAGGGTCTGAGTCCTTTAAGTATCTTTTTTGGAAGGGGGCAGTACTGGGATTTGAACTCAGGGCCTCACACTTGCTGGGCAGGCGTTGTACCTCTTGAGCCACCACCCAGTCCTGAGAGTCTCGAAAGCAATGTTATCTATGTGTCCTGTGGAAATGCTTGGCTCTCTGGAAGTTGCTTCCAGATCATCTGGGTGGATGGAGAGACGGATCCGGATAGGGGTGAAGCCTGCCTGGAGCAGGCTGCATGGCACCTTGCTCATTATTCTACTCTAAAAATTTACCTTAACTTAAAAAAACAAAAAAGGCTGGGCACAGTGGCTCATGCTTATAATTCTAGCTACTCGGGAGGCAGACATCAGGAGGATTATGGTTTGGGGCTAACCCAGGCAGAAAGTTAGCATGGCCCCATCTCAATCAATAAACTGAGCCTGGTGGTTCATGCCTGTGATCCCAGCTACACAGGAGGTATAAGTTGGAGGACTGCAGTTTAGGGAGACTTGGGAATAAACTATTCAAGAAATAACTAAAGCAAAAAGGGCTGGGGGCATTGCTCAAAGTGGCTCAAATTCCAATACCACCAAAAAAAAACCCATGAAGTGATAAGAAGGGGTTGTGCGATCCGTCTGGAAACCCCAGTGTGTTCCTGATGCCCCAATGCAGAAAGCCTCGACTGTGCTCCTTGTGGAGTGGCCCCAGCACGGCACAAACGAACGGCTCGAGTGACTCAAAACACCGGCACTGCGACCGCCCTCCCCGGCTGAGCACACATGCACTTCAGGTTCAGAAGACCCCAAGAGGTGGGGTGAGTGCTCTCCCGCGTCCGCCCGCAAAAGCGCCCAGTTCTTACCTTAAACAGGCAGTCGGTGGGAGTGGAAGCCATCTGAGACAGCAAGCTCACTCTCTGCCGGAGGCACAGCCTGTCACCGAACCCCTCAGAGTCCTGAGGGACAACAGAACCATGAGCCACACGGAAAGAGTCCATGCACCTCCCTGTTACCAGCACAGCACAGGACAAGACAGGACCTTCATCTGCTCACTGAGATGAGGGCACAGGGCTACCTGAAGCTGTTGCCTGGTGGGGCTCAGCATTAAAGCAGTGGCTAACTGGGTGTGGAATGTGTCACCTCCAAGTGTGGAATGTCACCTGCATACGCCATTATCCTCCCATGGGGGATGGACTGTCACTGGACTGTCCTGGCCTCCTCCCCTCTCAGAACTCTGTTCTAGGCCTGAGGGGCCCCTCCCCTGTCAGGTCAACCAGGGCTGCTGACGGGAACCCGCCTGATGGGCTGGTCTCTACACCCAGTGACAACTTCAGGAAAAGGAGGGGTCACGATGAGCATCACACAACACATGCACCCAGCAAGGTCCAGGAAGACAGACTCTCATCCCCAACTGCTTTTCCTTTTGTTTGTTTTGTTTGAGACAGAGTCTCCCTATGAAGCCCAGGCTGGCCTCAAACTCTTAAGCTTCCTGCCTCAGCCTCCTGAGTTCTGGGATTACAGGTATGCCCCACCATGCCCAGCTTCCAAATGCTTTTCAACTTCAAGGATCTGCCCCGGTTATTCAACTCAGATCTTCACATTGCAGGTAATGTTTACCTGGGTACAAAAACCCAGAAATCTGCCCTTGTCCTGTGAAATTGTTTCCAGCAAGATCCACTGTGCTCAGTTGAGTACCCACAAATTCACTTCCTGAAGAAAAGGCTTGCTGGGAAGTAAAGGGCATTTTCCCTGGCTTCCTGGGATACGGGAAGGACTCCACAAACCTGGCCAAGACTGTGGAACGGGGCTCTTTCTTTACAGCCAAAGATGGAGCCAATACCACCTCAGAGGATACAGCATTCCTGGGTCCCCCATCAAGCAGGGTCCCTCCCCCAACTTTCCCCCATGAGGGGATTGACTGGACAAAGCACCAGCCCCTCACAGGGAGCCATTCCTGCCTCAGCTGCCACTGCTACAAAAAGCTCTGCAACCTGCTTCATGCAGTGACATGGCTAAGCAGCTTTGGCCAGAGACACCTCAGCAGTAAACCAGCCAAACCAGAGTTCCTGCCTCAACTCTGGGTAGCTACTGACAGGCCACAGTAAAGAAGACCAGGATGTCGGGACCAGGTCTTCAGGGAAGGAGTGGTCAGAAGACACAGCACAGTAGAAGAGACTTATGTGGGAAGTGGGGAGATACTGTTTATTAGAAACTCAGAGCCAGGAGTGGTGGCACAGGCCCATAATCCCAGCACTCAGGAGGCTGAGGCAGAGGATCAAGTTTGGGCCAGCCTGGGCTACATAGGCAGACCTTGTCTCAAAAAACACGGGCTGAAGCTGGGTGCTGGTGGCTCACGCCTATAATCCCAGTTACTCAAGTGGCAGCGATCAGAAGAATCCCAATTCAAGTCAGCCTGGGCACATAGTCCAAGAGACCCTATCTCAAAGAAACCCATCGGAAAAAAGGGCTGGTGGAATGGCTTGAGGTTTAGGCCCTGAGTTCAAACCCAAGTACCTCAAAAAAAAAAAAAAAACAACAAGGGCTGGAGATGTGGCTCAGTGACAGAGCACTTGGCTAGCACATGCAAAGCCCTGGTCACATCATCAATCAGTCAACCAGCCAATCAATAAAACAAAAACAGTCCGGCAAGCGAGGAACAGGGAAGGATCCAGGGTCTTTCAGGGCTTAAGGTTTTTGATACACGAACTAGACCCTCTGCAGTGATGCTTTGCTACTGAAAGCTAACGCCTTCGCCAGGGATATCTCAAGTATGTGGAGGAAACCAGTGGAGCCACGTTTCATGAAGAGTCGGTGCCAACTGTGACTCCACCTGCTCAGGCTGAGCTCCCAGTTCATCAGAAGCCTTGTGGGCAGTGTGGAGGTTCTGTCCCCAGGAAACAGCCTGACACCATACCAGTCTCACACGCTCCTGTGGAACTTTGTCACTAACGGGAGCCAGTCCGCAGCTAAGACAGAGGCGACTGTTAAGGATGGAATCCCAATGCTGGTGTCACAGAGAACAAGGAGGCCACAGCACCTGCTGTCTACCCCAGGCAATCTCAGTTAAGTGGACAGCATCTCGGCCGACTCGCTTAGCACCCAGGGACAGGCTTGCAGCAGGTGGTGAAGGTGGCCCACCTGTTGCCCCGACACCTAACAGAATAGGCTGCCTTCACTCCAGGAAGGCAGGACCAGGGCAGTCACACCAGGCAAGATGGGTGCACTGGGCTATGCCCCTCTCTTGCCCCCATTCTCAAGAATTCCTTACAGGACACAGTAGAGAATCAAAACACAGAGAGGCCCCGGATTCAGGAGTACTGGAAGAGCAGGACACTGGTGTCCCTGGATGCATCAAAAGGTACTATGCAATATCACACTTGGTTCTTAGACAATGCATCCACAGGTAAAATATGCAGCACTATCCCAGCGTAGACACGAGAGTGGACAGTCATGCTGGAACCAAGCTAACACCAGCACAAGTGACAGCCTCGAACCTCACCATGGGCACCACTTTCTGAATAGAAACAGGTAAGAGAAGCTGTCTGGAACCCCCTGGTGGGCTTCCCCCTAACAACCTGGCTGCAGCCTTCGGGTGTCCGCCTTCCTGCCAGACTGCCACAGAAAGAGAGGAAAGAGCAGGGTCACCATGTGACGGGGCAGCAAGGGGACAGAAGGACCTTCAGGAAGTGGTTGCCCCCTCCAGGGACAAGGGAGGTGTGATCCCAGCACTTGGGGGGTGGGAGGGGGGCCTAAGGCAGAAAGATCTCAAGTTCAAGCCCAGCCAAGGCTACACAGTGAGTTCAGGACTGTGTCTGAATTTTTTTTTTAAAAAAAATCACCATGGCTGGTAAGTTTATATGGGGTTCTTGTTTACTTCACTGCAATTTTATATACTGCAGGCATCATTTATAAGCTGGCATTAGCCTTCTGACCAGCAAAACAATAATCCAGCATCTGCTTTTAGGAAAGACGTACCACACAACAAAACCTCAATTACAGAAGACTGGGAAGCACACTAGCAGGCTGACAATGGGTTCAGAGGACGGCGGCCACCCAGGGCACCTGCTTTCCATGTGGGGTTATTTATTCATTTATTTATTGGCAGCACTGGGGTTTGAACTCAAAGCCTCACAGTTGCACATATGAATAAAATAAAAAATAATAAAAAAAGCACATATGAATAAAATTTTAAAAATAATAAAAATAAAAATAAAAAGCCTCACAGTTGCTAGGCAGACACTCTACCACTTGAGCCACTCCACCAGCCCTCAAAACTTGGCTTAATATTTTTAACGGTGGGGGAGGACTCTTGTTGCCGAGACTTCTGTGTGCACCTTCAAGGAGGAGTGTGGGGACATGAGCGAGCAACGTGGATCTTGGCTTTACCTGCCCAGCCAGCTAGCACTCCCCAGCCCACCAAGACAACAATAACCAGGCCAGTGAGTCCTCAAATCACACACTAATAACCATTTCTTGTCTCTCATCACCCAGAAATCCAACCGTGCCATCCCTGCCTTCCTTTTCCACGCATGCTTTTGAGGGTGACAGGGATTAATGAAGCAGAATATTAACAATGTCAATTACAATGACAACCGTCAGCATTCACAACCAATTAGGGGCTTAACGCAGCCTCCCGGGTGGCTTGCAAGCCTCAGCGCTCTCAGACAGCCAAGGCCTCCTCCTTGGGGGACCACAGAAGAACTCTGCTCCCACATCTAGCCCCGGGACCTCAGCACAGGAGCCATGACACCCACAAAGCAGGGGCAGTGCGGGATGGAGCTCTTACCAGTGGCTTCACAGAGAGGCTCCCTTGCCGAATATACTCGATTGCAGCCTCCATCGAGGTCAGGCAGTACCCCAACTCATCTTTTGCGGAGCTGCTGAATCTGAAGTTTTTGATGTAACTCAAATTTGCCATCCTAACAAAAAGAAGAAAAACAGTTTTACCATTGGATACCCAGGAAACACTTGTGAAGAAACAATGCTATTCACTCAGGTGGCTGATCAATGACCCCTGGCAGGTCTGACAGCTCAGGGAGGGAGGTGGAACACAGTCCCCACCATTCCAATCCCACTGAGGAAGGGGCAGTCAAGACGACAAGTAAAACTAGCTGTTCCTTCCCTGAAACAAGCCAGTGTTTACAAAGCTGGTGACTGTGGAGTGAGCTCTGGCTTCCTCTGGGAAGAAGAAGCAGCAAGCTCTCTGGGCCTCAATTTCCCCTCTGTAAGTGGGAGGGATGAGAGGCCTAGGAGCTGACTCAAAAGAGGGGTGTCATTAAGGTGGCTTTTCCTGGAGTTACACTAGAAATACACAATGCACAGTGCTGTCATTTTTAAAAGCATTTTAATGAAGAGTTACCAGTTGGGGATGTCTGTCTTCACAAGCAGATATAACAAAACTGATAGAAGATCATCAGCACACATGGTCTCCAAGCTCACTGCAAGGGGAAAACAATTTCAAAGCCTCATGAGCCTCAAAGGGAAGGACAGTGTATGAACTCCCGCCACACAGCACTGCAGTGAGATTATACATCAGGGTTGGCATAATTCCCTTTACGTTGTCTTCAACAGATGTCAGATTCAATAGGATAAAAATACACAGCATTCTGGGAGTAATAGCTCATGCCTGTAATCCCAGCTACTTGGGAGGCAGAGATCAGAAGGATCAAGTTTTGAGGCCAGCCTGAACAAAACGTTTGGGAGGTCCCACCTCAACCCTTGGCTGGGCATGGTAGCTCGTGCCTGTCATCCCAGCTACACAGGGAAGCACATACAGGAGGATCATAGCCCAGGCATAAAGAGAGATCTTATCTAAAACAACCTATGCAAAAAGGGCTCGGGGAATGGCTCAAGTGGTAGAGCATCACCCTAGCAAACACAGGCCCTGAGTTCAAAAACCACAGTGCAAAAAAAAAAAAATGCATAGCATTTTCAGAACATATGCCCACCAAAATGTGACTCCAAGTTGGCCAGGCCTTCCCATACTCACGGATGGTTAAAGAGCCCAGGGAGGCAGAGACAGTGGACCTGAAAGGAATGTTGGGTATGGAGACCTAAGGCAGACGAGTGAGTAGCCCATCCCCTATGGAGAGAACCATCAGCCCTGCACCCTGAGAGGGAGTTGTAAATCTGCATTCCTGTACCCAGAGGAGGGGACACAGGGTCTCATAAATCTGCCGTGGGGCTGATAAACAAAATGCTCTCAAGGTTGTTTCCCCCCTCAATAAGGGGCAAACAGACCAGCTCATCTAAGAGAGCCCACGTGCAAATATATGGCCAATAGAAAAAACCCACCTAACCCATACCCTAACCCAGAGTTAAAACGTCCATAAAAGCCTCGGCCTTCACCTAAGCAGGGAGTTCCCGGCTTCGAGGCTCTGCTGCACTGCTCCAGCTGTAGCCTTTCCTTTCTCTCTAATAAATCCTACTTTATATACTGGCTTTGGCTTATCACTCAGCTGCCTCACGAGCCAGTTCTCTGGCCTGTGAAGGCAAGGACCCTCGACCCTGGCCTGCCAACACTTCAACACTGACACGTAACAGGAAGATGTGCCCAGAGCCACAACCAGAAGCCTCTCCCTTCCTGAGGTCGCTTCCGTTTTATACACGTGGAGTATAATGCCAAATGTAGCTTCGCCTTATTGGCTGCATTTTGGAATTGTGAGCAAACCACTCAGACATTTTAAAGGTTACCCAGTACAGGGGCTAAAGGTACAGCTTAGTGGTAGGGCACTTGCCCAGAGTGAGTAAGGCCTCACATTCCATCCCCAGCACTGCCATAAAAAATAAGTAAGCAAATAACCAAAAGTGCAAACAGCACAAAAGAGCGTGCTGTGACTGTCCCTCCACCCCTGCCACCCAGTCTCCATTCCCTGCGCCTTCCTGTGCATCTGTGCAGACAGCCCGTGAGCTCTCCAGCTCAGACACAGAGCCGTGCCCCGCATGACACTGCTGGATTAGGATGAGGACTGCTGTGCACCACCATTTATTTCACTCAGTATACTGTGGAGATCATTACCTGGGAACACATAGATCTCACACCTCAGTTTTTTCTTAGCTTCGTCTTTTTTTATTTTGGCAGTGCTGGGGATCAAACCCAGGGCCTGGTGCACACTAGGAGTGTACTCTACCACTGAGCACACACCCCTCCACCCCTGCTCTACTTTTTATACTGGAAAATTTCAAAAATATGCAGAATTAGGGGGAACAGCCTAACAGACAGCTGAACCCCACCAGCCAAGCTGGTTTTCTTTTTTTTTTTTCGTGGTACTGTGGTTTAAACTCAGGACCTCATGCTTGCTAGGCAAGCACTCTACCACTTAAGCCTCTCCACCAGCCTCAGGCTGGTTTCCAAAGCCACTGCTTCTCTTTTCTCATCCATCACTCTTTTCTCATCCAAATCATGCTGACTCAGGTCAGAGCAGGCATCTATAGGGCCAGACTGCAGACCTGGTCTGGGTGTGGTGCTTGCCCCCAACTTCCCCCAGCCACCCTCATCCCAGGCACGCACCTCTCTGGCTGGGGGTCTGCATGATGAGCTGCACCACCCTCCGCAGGCATACCAGCTTCTGCTGGGGGGAGGTGCACCTGTTCAGCTGCGCCAGCTCTCTCTTTGCTCGAGGGATGTTGAAGCTGTACAAGATTTGGAAAGTGACAACTTCAGACACCCCCCAGCCCCGTGGCAGGCAGGGCCCTTCTTCATGGTCCTAATAACAAGCATCAGGTAAAAACCCCTTGCAACCCAAGTAACCACAAGCACAAACAGAGACTGAAAATAACAGATGCTCCAAGTCCCATCTAGATGCCAGGTAACAGCTGCACCAGAAATCTGAAGATGCAAATAAAAAGCCTCAGCCCCGAGGGGACGCGCCCACAGGCAGGGAGGAGCTTAGACACCAGCTCTTCAGATACAGCATCCAGCAAAACCCAAACTAACTCAGAAGTGGGTGCCTCCATGGCGGGGTTCCCTCCGCTGGGCAGGTAAGAAGTCCTGCACACAGAGCACACTGGACAAATTTGTGTCTACCTGGAGACCAGGTCTATAAAACCCATCCCCCTTCGTTCCTCCAACAGTCACAGGTCAAGGTCAGCACTCTGTAACTCAGCTGTGGCCATGGCCACTGGAGGCCCTCCTGTTTCTAGGAGAGGGTCCCGGCCAGCCCCGAGCACAATGACCAGCTGCAGCAGCACGAGCCTACCTGAACTCAGGCTTCACACCAATGTCCTTCTGCTGAAGGTCTTGAAGGCTTCTTGTGATCTTGTTGAAGGCAGCATCCTAACAACAGAGTTTAACAGAGCTCCACATTTCTTAAAAAGCACGGGGCAAGGCTTCCACCCAAAGGACAGCTCCTCGCCTACCTCGCTGGCCTCCACAGTCCCCACGTACTTAAAGATGAGGTCGTACATTTCGTGATGGACATACATCTGCGAAAGCGAAAGGCCCGGCTCAGGGTGTGTTAGCTATAGGGAGTGACCCTGGCCGCCACCCCGCCTTACCTCTACAGCCTGCTTCATCAGGTTCATCTGGGCCTCCTGCTTCGCCAGCACCTTCTAGAAGGTAAGAGAAGAACAACAAGAGAGCTCAGCCCTGATCTGCCCGGTGCAGGCTGTAGTGCTTTCCCCTGAAAGTCCTGACACCTACCAGGTGGGAGTCCCTCAGAAGCTGCTGGAGGCATTTGGTATATAGTGCATTCACTGAGTCCTGTGTGACACAAAGCAGAGAGCGCCCATTACAACTACAGGCCTCGAGGCATGTCCTGAAGCAAGGGACATCCTGACAATCGTACTTCCTGAATCACAAGTTTTAAGTAGTAATGCAAGCACTGTTGATTTCCAGTATTTTTAAACTGTATATGTACGAACAGTAGGAAAAATTTCCATTAGGGTTAACATAGACAGTAACAGTACTCACTGTTAGACTTCTAGGAAATTTTTTTTAGCAATACTGGGGTTTGAACTCCAGTTCAAACCTCACACTTGCTAGGCAGGTGCTCTACCACTTGAGCCACTCCACCAGCCCTTTTGTGTACTAAGTATTTTCAAGATAGGGTCTCACAAACTATTTGCCCAGGCTGGCTTCGAACCACAATCCTCCTGACCTCTGTCTCCTGAGTAGCTAGGACTACAGGTGTGAGCCACCAGTGCCCAGCTGAGATTTTCAAGTTTTGAGAGTGATTTATACTGCTTTTATACTTGGAAACAAGTAAACAAAACTTCCAGCAGCAGAGGAAGCATCCAGGAAAGCTGCAGGGTAAACTGAGGGGAATCGGGGTCCTGCAGCAACTAAGACAGGGCAGGCCAGGTAGAGTAAGGAGGACACAGAGACTGACTATGTGCTGACGGAGGCTCTTTCTTTCACAGTCTCGGAACGTTCGGTGGAAAGAGGCGATGATCCTGTCAAATCGCTCAGAGTGTCTTCCCAGGAACTCTCTCACATCCTCTATGGTTTTCAGGGAACAGGGATCAGAGGATGCCAAAGGCTCTTCTGAAACAGAGACAGAGGATCAGGCTGGATGCAGCCATCACTGTTTCTTGGTGGGGGAAGTGCCACACCCTTTGTCCTGTCCCCACAGAGTCTAGGATCTCACCTTCTGAGGGAGAACGGCAGGGACTGGGGGGAAAGAAGGGAGATCCTTATTTCAACATCCTGCCCAGCTGTAGGACGGCCTGGGGTCCAGAGAACCAGGGTCCTCTACAGGTCTTTCCTGGGACAAAATCCCTAGTGCCTGGGACTACAGCATAACCTGTGGGGCTGAGGTGAAGAAGATCTGATTCCTGACAAGAAGAGCTTCAGGGGTCATTTGGCACATCAACTGGTATCTCAATGTCTGGGGCAGCAAAAAAATTATTTCTTTAAAAATAATGAGGACTTAGGGGCCTCCAGTGGGGCTGAGTAGGTAATAACACTATAACAGCAAGACTTAAAGCCCAGACCAAAGACAAAGCCAGGGCCAGCTGTGCACTACTCAGGCCTGGTGAGGTAGACATGGATGGCACCCCTGGCACTGTATGTTCAACCACACACAGTAGTCCAATCCACTTCCTAGGCAAGACATGACTCTGAGTAGGTTCTAGGGACTGCCACAGTTACACAGGTTCCTGCAGCATCTTCAAAATGTTCTGCCATGTTTAACTTTGTAACAACTATACCAGAAATAGATCCAGATGCAAACTTCTCCCAGAATACCTGCACTCTCTCTCTTCTCCAAAGGATGTGCTATGCACAGGACACTGAAACTTTCTTCTTTTTCATTGTAGAAAGTCTCTTCAAAGAGGATGGGCACGGAGAGAAGATAGGCAAAACCTGCCCCTAATTTAATCCTGTTTCCCTGTATAAAGACATCCTGAAACAAAAAAGCCATCGCTGTACCAAGAGCCAGTGGCAGCCAGAACCCCTGAAACGGCACTGGTCCAGATCCTGCCGCTTACCCCAGTGTGAGTTTGCTGAGCATAAGCAAGTGACAGGAAAATGGCATCAGGCCTCATGAGCTCCAAGGTGCTGACCAACGGAGCAGATCAGCTGGCAACCTGACCGCCCTCTCCCTATTGCAATACCCACAAGCCCCAGCTGCCCTGTCCTGAGGCCAGGCCTCCACCCAGAGGCCTGGCCCACCGAGCATGTGTAGGCCGAGGAGTGGAGCCAGCCCTGCCCCTCTGAAACACCACCTGACCCCATTCTTAAAAATGCAGCTAAAGGCGTGGCTCAAGTGGTAGAGCACCTGCCTACCAAGCCCAAGGCTGAGTTCAAACTTCAGCAGAAAAAAAAAAAAAGCCACGCACACCCCAAATTACCACCAAGGAGACAAAGCGACATCATGTGCCTCCTGACAGGATATGCAGAGAAAGATAAGACACCTCTGCCACGCCATTCCTACCCAACACCCCACTGTAACCTAGTCACGAGGAAAGGTCGGGAAAACCCAGACTGAGGGACAGTCTGCAAAACAACACAGAAATGTCAGGGTCGTGAAAGACCAGGAAGTGCTGAGGCCCCCGTTCCAAAGGAAAGGAAACGAAGACCAGCAACCAGATGTTTGATTCATCCTGAGTCTTTGTGGGGTTTTTTGGCTCTGCAGGGGTATGGTAACTAGTGCGGTGTGCATAAGAATGGTTTGTCAAGGCCTCTAGTGTGGTAACCACTGCAGTGGTCAGACAATCAGAGCTCCTCGGAACTACACCCTGAGCTGTCTTGGGGTACAGGGCACAGTGCACCCTACTCTAGAAAGGCTCAAGTCATCATCGTGGGTGTTAGACTATCTTAAAACAAACTGTGCAAGTGTTAACAGTAACCAGTCTGGGGAAGAGGGCTCCAGGGTTCTTCACATTTTATCCATTCAGCTTTCTGTTGTTTGAAATTATTTCAAAACAAGTTTTTCTTTTTGGTTTTGTTTTTGTTTAGAGACAATATCTCACTATGTAGCCCAGGAAGGCCTCGACCTTGTGATCCTCCTGCTCAGCCTTCCTAGTACTGAGATTATAGGCATGTGCCACTGTGCCCAGCAAGAAGTTTTTTAAAAATAAAGTATTCATCCATGATGTCCAATCTGTGGGCAAGAAACAAGAGATTTTCAAGGGCCCTGGGAAGAAGCAGCTCAGTCTGACAGGGACCTCACTGAGAAGGGTTCCAGGGACTCCCCCTCACACACACAGGCAGAACCTCCTCAGCTGAGGCCAGCGCCAGCCCCCCATCCTCCAAGACAGCAGCGTGGTCCCCCTCACTATCATAGCCTCCTTCCTCCAAGGCTCCACACCTTTGGAAGGGCCCCCGAGCTGCCCCAAGGGGCTGTGTGTGTGTCAAAGCCAACAGTTGGCACAGCACACGGGAAATAATGGGAAAGGGGATTCTCTCGCCTCTCTCCTCCCTGCCCCAGACACGCAGGAGATAGTCAAGAAATACTACCTTGCCATCAAAGGTCTGAAAATGGCCTTCCACTGGAATCAGAATGTACGATTCGAACTGACAAGTGGCCTGAACGCTGCTGGACAGACTTCCTTTGCAAGGCACCAAGACCTGGAAAAGACAGGAGGGTGAGCACTGGAGAGAGGGGTCTCCAAAGGGTGCAACTGGGATCAACCAGGCTGGCAGAGACACTGGCCCCGCTGGCCCAAGCAGCTGTGGCTACTGCCAGCTGGGTTCACTGGTTATGGTGGTGACAGACACAGGCAGTCTCTACCAAGGTGGAGGGAGGACGAAGATAGCACAGTCCTTTTCCATATGTGGACTCAGGCACTAGTGGGCTCATGCCACATTTACTGGAGGTGCCCCACAGATAACCTCAGACACCCTGCTACGCCCACCAGCCCCACTCCCAGATCCGATAGGCTCAGGAAGCAGTGCAGGTAATGAGAGGAGAGTTTGGGAACACAGGAAGGGAAAGGGATTAGTCTGGGGGCATGGCTCAAGTGGCAGAGCACCTGCCAAACAAGTGTGAAGCCCTGAGTTCAAACCCAGTAACACCAAAAAAAAAAAAAAGGAGGAAAACAAAGGGAAAGTCATGTGTGACACCACACCCCCAACATGGAGCTGCACATGTCACACTCAAGGTGACTTCCTCTGATCTTTTTTCTATGCTTTTGTTTTGAAGCCCAGTTGTGATCATGGTCCATTAGGACCCAACAAAGACCCTGGAGGGACAGTGTAAGGCACAGACGACCACCTCCACCATGTGTCCCAGGGTGCCACACTCTCACTTTGGGGCAGTGTCAACCTAAAATACACAAACTGAATTTTGGTCAGTCAGTGGCCACCACGATGGCCAGAGAGCAGCACACTAATGTGTTCATCAGCACACTGCAGTCATGGAGGAGCTCCTGCCCTAGCCACCATGTGAGGGTCTCAACTTGGCTCAGGGCCTCATGTCTGAGGAGGGCTCCCTCTGGCTAAAGGATACAAAGAAAGATGGTCAAGGCTCAGAAGCCCTGCAGACACCGATTCCCAGGTGACACAGGGTCGGTCCTTGTCCCTTGGTTCCTGCATACACAAAGTAGGGGCATGCTGGGAGCCTGACCACATGACACACGCAGCCCAGGACCTGGCACACAACCAGCCTCTTAGGGACACTGCTCCCAGGGTAACCAGAGGTGGTCCTTTTTCTATCTCAGCCAGCTCTTAGCACTCAGTCCTGGAGGTCCTCAGAGAGCTGAGGGTTGCAGGGACAGGAACACAGACCACTAGCAGCCAGGCCTGGCTGGGTTCGCCTCAGCGTTACATGGCCCTCCAGGGAAAGACTCGATTCCTGCCAGAGGCAGGCAGGTAATGAACTACCCTCAGCCCCTTCCAACTTGGTATCCCCACTGCAAAGCACGCTGCTGACATGCAGGAGGCGCCTAACCCACATGGGCTGTGTGAGCAGGGGCACTCCTGTTTGAGGGCCCCCCTCCAGTTTTCTGGCAGAGGATGTGTATCGATAAGCAAGTGGGATGATGGCGACTGACATGGAGTTCTCTGAGCATCTTGGTTCTGCAGAGGCCAGGCAAAGGCCCTTCAGCATAGCCCTTCCCTATAGGATGGTGTGGGTCTTTCATCTATGCAGCTGGAGTGCGACTGTCTGTTAGAGGTCAATCACTAAGTGTCCTCTCCTGCCCCTTTGCTGGGGTCCACTCTCCTCCTGTCTCCAGGTTCTTCTCTTTGTGTTCAGTGTGAGCCGTGAGGCCACCGTGGAGCCTGCATGGACATCGTTTCTCACTTCTAAGCTGACACATTAGCACCTCCCTTTACTTTTATTTTAATTTTTATTAAAATTTCAAATGACTGTGTTTCCTCTCAAATATATCAAACTAGAAAGAACAATATTGTAAGCCCCCACGCCCGTCCCCTAACTTCAGCGATTAAGAATTTAGTGGTCAGCTGAGTTTCATCTCTCTCCATTCTTACCTCTGGGTTATTTTGAAACAAATCCCACAAAATTATATGGTAGACATGTGGTTTCACCTGGAAATATTTTTAGAAATGCATTTGTTAAAACATTTTTTTGTGAACTGGGGTTTGAACTCAGGGCCTACACCTTGAGCCACTCCGTCAGCCCTTTTTTGTGATGGGTTTTTTCGAGATAGGGTCTTGGGAACTATTTGCCCAGGCTGGCTTCAAACTGTGATCCTCCTGATCTCTGCCTCCTGAGCAGCTAGGATTACAGGCACGAGCCTCAATGCCCAGCCAGCTTTGGTTTCTGAAAGTGTACAATCACATTTAGAGTTCCAGAACCTGATGTGATTCTGGTCAGTTTTTCCAAGCTTAATGAGAGTTTTGGTGGAGGGCCGACTTCTGGGTCTCCTGTGCCACTGTTTTCTGTGTATTCCCTGAAGCTTACCAATAAAACTTCATTTTAGCACCTTCATGTACAATTTTTTTAAGTAACAGCCTTTTTGCCTATAATCCCAACGCTAGGGAGGTAGAGGAAGGAGGATGAAGAGTTTGAGGACAGCCTGAGATACACAGTGAGACCCTGTCTCAAAAATCCTCCCCCCACAACCCCAGCACAATAAACTCAAGTGGGGTTCCACTGCCTGCAGCTGAAAAAGCCCCCGGTGGGTGACAGAAACTGCCAAGTGCCAGCAACACCATGGTGGGCAGGACACGCAACTCCCAGAAAGCTGCTGAGAAACCACAAGTGCCATACATAAGTTATACACTATAATGTGTTCTCATCTGCACAGCATTTTAAAAGATGGAGCAGGGCTGATGGCGTGGCCCAAGTGGTAGAGTGCCTGCCTAGCAAGCACAAGGCCTTGAATTCAAATTCCAGTGCAAGAGAAGGAAGAGGAAGGGAGGGAGGGAGAGATGAATGGATGGATGGAGGGAGGAAAGGAAGGAGGGATGGAGGGAGGGAGAGATGGATAGATGGACGGAGGGAGGAGGGAGGGAGGCAGGAGGGAGGGAGGGAGGGAGGGATGGAGGGAGGGAGAAATGGATGGAGGGAGGGATGGAGGGAGGAAGGGATGGATGGAGGGATGGATGGATGGAGGGAGGGAGGGAGGAAAGGAGAGCAACAGCAAAGATGGGAAGGAAGGAAACACCTTCTAGGTGTCATTTACCAGTGCTGGGGTCAGAATATACATGTTTGCCCAGGGAGTGACCACCTCTTAAGCTTCTGGAGGGTAAAGAAGTGGGCCACTCTGTTTCTTGCTGACTCCACAGCACTATAAAACACAGCACCCTGCATACAGTAGCAAAAGGCATATTCTCTAATTTTTAACAGTGAACTCTATGACTTCCAAAATCCAACGTAAAAAGGTTCTGGTGAAAACATATGGATCACAAAACTAATCATAAAAACCTGGGTAGCTAGCATTACAGGCATGAGCCACTGGCACCCGGGCCCTGTAAGCCTCTGAGGTTGTGCCTGTATTAACAGTTCTTCCCTTGGGAAATGCCTTTCAAAGCTAGGCAGGAGCTCACAGTTCCCTGCTCTGACGGGAGTGAGCGCACACCTCACAGGTGAGGACTCCTGAGAACCTGAGGAGGACCAAGGTCTCTGCCCTCCACAGTGCTCATGCTCAACACGGAAGTAGAAGAGAGAAAGAGAGAGAGACAGAATGAGCACTAGGAGACTGCAGTGCCATCTGGAGTGCTCCAAGAAAGGGTGTGATTCTCACAGGCGGGGACACAACCCAGGCTGCAGTCCCAGAAGGCTTCCTGGAGGGAGCAGCTCAGGGTGGCTGCTTGTTCACACACCACACATGGGCAGGGAAGTATAAAACAGACCTGTAACAGATCTGTAACTGGCTTTCCCACCCTGGCCTGAGGACAGCCCTCAGGATCGGTGCACTTACAGTGCCGTGGATCTGGGCCACCTTGCTGCACAAGTCGGGGCGCCCCTTCTGAAGAGCCAGGTAGAAAGGGTTTTTCAGGAGATCTTCATCATACAGAGCCATATGGACTTCACAGGGGTCACCGGCTTTCCTGGGACAAGAGAGGAAAAGCAGTGAATGACACACTGGCCTTCCTCTTTCCAGGTCTAGAAAGTACCCTTGACACGTACTATGTGGTCCAAACAGCTATAATCCACCATTCCCAGGCAATCTGGCTACTGGTTAAATATGTGAATCGTGTTAAAAAAATCCTAAATTCTAACGTATGGCAAAGTGTAAATGGCAATTTTTAGATGTCCTACATAGCCAAGATTAATTATAACATTCTGTTCTTTTTAAATGGTTTTATCTTTTGGATTAGTATACAGTAATAATCCAAGGGGTTTCATTGTGGTAACACATGCATAGAGTGTACCTTGAACCAGTTCACCCCCTCCATTACAGTTTCATTTATTCCTTTCTTCTCTCCATCCTTTTTGAGACAGGATCTCCCTATGTTGCCCAGTCTGGTCTCCAACTCCTGGGTTCAAGGGGTTCATCCTGCCTCAGCCTCCCAAGTAGCTGGGACTACAGGCATGTGCCACCACACCCAACTACTCATGTACTTTTAAGGAAAAATTTTAGGCCCACACAAAAGTGCTAAGTGGTGAAAATCTACAACCCAGAATTATCCAGTCTTAACAGTTTACCACATTTGCCTGGGCTGATAAGAAATAAAGCATCTTAGCATAGACTGGGTTCCCCATCTCAGGGAGGCAGTGATAGGCATCTACCATCCTACAGTTGATGTCTATCTTTCTTGCCTGTGTTCCTATGCATTTAATACTTACAACTCAAAAACAATGAAAAATGAAAAATCTGGTTTCTCAGGCTTCGAGTTTTACATAAAAAGTGTCATACTATTACCATTCAAAAAAGTACTCTTTGTAATCATCCACTATTCTCTGCTGCATTCTTGTAAGTAAACATGCCACAATTTATCTACTATCTATACTCTGTGCATGTGCGTGCACATCGGGGCTGGAACCCAGGGCCTCAGGCATGGTAAGCATGTACCTTATCACTGGGTCACACTGCCAGTCCCTCTAGCATCCTGTATTTAAATTGTTCCGCCTTAGCTGGGCGCCAGTGGCTCACACCTGTAATCCTACCTACTCAGGAGGCAGAGATCAGGAGGATCATGGTTCAAAGCCAGCCCAGGGAAATAGCTCATGAGACTATCTTGAAAAAACACATTACAAAAAAAGGGCTGGAGGAGTGGCTCGAGGTGTAGTCCCTGAGTTCAAACTGCAAAAAAAAAAAAAGAGATTTGCTCCGCCTTCTTCTGCCATCAGATTATCTTCTGTCAGTCTGCTGTAGTCCGAAGGTTTGTACCCCTCAAAACTCACATGAGGTTGGAATTCTAGCCCCCTGGGTGGTGATAACAGAAGTGGAACTGTGTTGGTGGGAGTTATGTTAGGGCAGCAGAGTCCTCACGCATGGGATTGGCATCTTTGTAAGAACCCTACAGAACGCCTCGGCTCCTTATATTCAAAGATGGCCATGTGTACACCATGGTGCTCACTGAACACTCAATCTGCCTGCTTGCCTTGATCTTGGACTTCCTACCCCCCAGAACTGAGGGAGATAATTTTCTGCTGTTCATGAACCAGCCAATGTATGGCATTTTGAATGGACTAAGACAGCCTGTGAGTATAAAGCAACATCTCACTGTTTCATTCCAGTGAAGCCAGACAAATGAAAATTCAATGATTCTGGATATCAATTCTTTATATTCTGTAAATTGTCTTATGTCTTTTGCCTACTCTCCTGTTCCTCTTCTGTGGTTTACAATTCTTTATACATCTAGATGCTAAAACATGTTACAAATATCTTCTCCTAGTCTGTGACTTGTCTTTTCACTTTTCCAAACAGAAGACCTGGGCTTTTGTTTTTAATGCAGTTAGATTTGTCAGTCCTGACTTCAGAGACCCTGGGAGATCTGCGCCTACTCTGGGGCCTGCACTGTGGATAGTGACTACACCATGCTCCCATCAGAAGGCAGAGCCCTCCCCTGCCTTTGGACTCTGAGCCGGCCCTGTGGCCTGCTTCAGCACACAGACAGAACTGACACTGCGCGACTGCTGGGTGTCAGCCTCAAGAGGCCTTTCACTTCCTCTCTTATTCTCTTGGTACCCAAATAACAACATGCTGGGAATAAGCCCATGCCCTGAAAGGTCTCTCACACAGGAAGAGAGGCGCCCTAGTGGCCTGGTGAGCACGCCTACCCCTCCAGCAAAATGAAGCCACACAGTGAGTGAGCCAGGTGAGATCAGAATCATCCAGCCAACCTGCATAGCAGCGGGGAATAATCAAATTGGAGCAATTTGAAGCCACTGAATTTTGGGTTGGTTTGTTAAGTAGCAAAGGCCATCTGAACCCTCTCTCCAACTCCAAAATCCTATAACTTATAAGAATCTTAAGGGCTTTTTTATATTTCAGTCTTCGATCCACCTGGATTTTATTTCTGCATATGCTATAAATTGGACACTTAATCTTATTTTTCCCTATGGTAAGCCGATTGTCCCACCATTTTTGGAATATCCTCTCCCTCTCACAGTGGGTGGCAATGCTACCTTTGTCACATTCCAAGTTCCTAGGTATGTTTGGCCTAATTTGTGGGCTCTACTCTGTGTCAGTGGTCTGGACCAGTGCCAGCCAATGAAAGTATGTGAGAAACAGAACTGCATATACAGTTCATATACGTACATATTTAATTTTATTTTGGGTCTTTTTTTGGTTGATTTTGAGACAGTGTCTTACCCTGTAACCCAGGCTAACCTGGAACTCACTATGTAGGATAGGCTGGCCTTGAATTTGTGATCCTTCTGCCTCAGCCTCCTGAGTGCTAGGATTACAGGCATGGGCCACTAAGGCTGAGCAGCCTTAGTCTTAAATTTTCTAGAAACTACATTTAAAAAAAAGAAAAGGTTGACATTTATTTTAATAATATATTTTATATATCTTACTCTATCCAAATATATTTTCAACATGTAATCATTTTTAAATTCTTAATAACATATTTGACGTTCATTTTTACTCCTAAGTCTTCAAGATCTGGTGCACATTTAACTTGTACAGCTCATTCTGGCCATATTTCAGGTGTGGCTATAGTACTAGACACAGCAGAGCTAGACCACATAACTCCAGCTTCCTAAGCCACCGTGATATTGCACAGAGAAGGCCTCCTCCTTTAGTCGCCAAACCTGTCTGGTTACTCCTCATTCTTTAGGATGAATTAGAATCAGCATATTGATTCCACGAAAAATACTGTTGGCATTTTTTACTGGAATTGCACTAAATTCATGAGCTTGAAAGTCAACACATTTAAAATAATGAATCCCACCATCCATGAACATGGTATGCCTCTCCACAGAGGTCTTCGTACCCTTCAGTTAAAGTTCTCCATTAAGATGATACGCATTTGTTACACTAATTGTTTGTATCTCCTATGTGGGTTTTGCTGCCATTGTACGTGAGTGTTTGTTGCAGGTATGTTTTGAAGGCAAAAGCCAAGTAGACTTATATCGCAGTTGTACTTTATACATCAAATAAGAATCACTATAAGCCAGGTGTGTGGTACATGCCTGTAATCCTAGCACTCAGGAGGTGGAGATAGGAGGATCATGTGTTCAAGGACAGCCTGAGCTACAACAGCAAGATTTTGTCTTAAAAACAAAAAAAATCAGTATGGTGTGTCACCATCGGAACTGTGACTTCTGAAGCTATAGTTTGCTCTGACATGATTTAAGACTGACAGTCTGTGAACAGCAAAAAGACGACAACAGGTCACTGTTTAGCTCACTTTAGGAACAAGCTGTTTTAAGGAGCTTGCAGTCTGCAGGTGATTGAGTGCTGCTAACTACTGTGAACGTGGTAAAAATGTTCCACAGCCGATCCTCCATGGCCCATGTCTGCTCTCCCTAAACACATCAGTGTGGTTCACCAAACTATCAGAGGGAGGACTCTACACAATGGGCAGAGAAAAGGAGATGACAGTTCTAGCCATGTCATTCCTCCTGTCTAAGCCTCAGCCTGTGCAATGGAGACCTGAACCCCTGCCTGCAGCATTTTCACAAGAGTCACTTACGTTCTGCCTTCACTATTAGACACACTGTAAGACGTACTTATACTGCTTTTGCTGAGAAGCACTGACTCCTTACTTGGGCCCAAATTAACCAATCACAAGAGAAAAGCTTGGTATCTCTGTCTCCATTTTTTACCTATTGTCCTTGGCTCTGAGCCATTCTCTCCTGCAGTCACCTTGGAAGCAAGGAAGGACAGGAATGACTGACATCTTTATGGTAACGAACTGAAACTTCCCCTAAGGAGCAGGGAAGCCCTTCAGGACAGTTACTTATGGCTGTGCACCCTGGAGGAGCAATCACATCTTGGGAGTAAGATTGCTCCTCTCAAGTGATGACAGAGACAACAGCTTCTCCTGCGAAAACAGGGGCTGAGATAATGCTCAACCGGGCCATATGGTGATGGGACTGTTTATGCATATCTTTCACCCCTGCCCTAATTCCTTGTCTATTTAACGCTAAAGCTAATGTCTATACCCTGAAGACGGCTGAAAATGGGCTAAGTGCTCACTCTTCCTACGTGTTCAGAGCTGTGTAATAAAGCTTTCTCTGCCTTCACTGTATCTTTTTATTTGGAGTATAGGGGGAAGTGGCTGGACCTGACCTGTGGAATCCCCACAGTTTGGACCTTGGGTCCAAAACTCTGGTTTCCAATACCACAGTATCTGTGGCTCCCACAGGATCTGTGAGAATGAAGAAAAGACACTCTGTCTTCCCAGTGCATGCAGGTCTGTGCCAGGGCACATGGCTTGGTTAATTACCAGCTCCAGTTTACCTCTGCTGGCTGGGCACCTCTAAGTAATGAACAACCTGCAGGCTTACACAGTGGCTCTATTGTCAGTGTTTGACATTTTTCTTTAATCATCTTTTTAGGAAAAGAAACATTTTTTTTTCCAGTGTTGGGAATCAGATCTAGGGCCAATGAGCTACACTCCACTCCCAGTCCTTGGTGTTTTGAGATAGGGTC